AACTCATTTTGATACCTATTAATATAGCTAATAATATTTTCAGCCGCTTCTGATTTTCGTTTTAGTAAGAAAACTACGCAGAAGTGAGAGTAATCATCAATTACCGTTTGGAAATAAACCTCACCTAATAGTGTTGGAGTATTGGATGGGCCCGCTATATCACTATGTATGAGTTCTAAAACCTGACCTGACCTTGGTCTCTCCAAAGTTTTGAATGGTAATCTAGTTGCCTTACCTTTCATACAAGCATTACAAATGTTATTGTTAACTGGGAGATGTAATCTTTGTAACGTTTTTGAGCTTGTACGGCCTAAACGTCTATGCCACAACATACCATCTACTGTTTGTATAGCTGCGGCTCCATCCTCTGCTATAATTTCACCCTGCAAAATATAAAGCTTTCCATTATTGTATGCCCATATAGTAGAACTATAAATAAAGCTAAATTTGGCATATTCGTTTTTGAATACAATCTCGTTTGGTTTTTCAAGTAACTTTCTTACAGACAGCAGATTATACGCTAAATTAGCCACAATAAGTCCTTTTATATTAATTTTAACATTTCCGCATCTGATGGGTAAATTACCACTGTAATACGCAATCAACTGTTGTCCATTTGCTGTGTTTATTTTAATGGGATGCTCTAAAAGTTCGATCTTTGTCATGTATTGTTCATAACAATTCGATATAAAATTTTGTGATGCACCAGAATCTACTACTAAGGAAATTAATCTGTTAGATGTCTTACAAGTTAAGCTGAATTCTCTATCTACCATACATCCCATTTCATCATTTGGTTCGTAATCGCCTACGACTGCATTATCCCTCGAAGTTGTCGCTGTACTAGTTTCACCTCTGCTTCGAATCTGTATTCTCCCACGTCCACGTCTATTAAATTCACCGCCTCGGCCTCTTATAGATTTATTTTGATAGTATCTATTTTGACCAAATTTTCGACAATATATTGCCTTGTGTCCTTTTTCATTACAATTCCAGCATTCAATATTAAACGCATTATCTTGATTTACATTTACTCTGTCTTGCAATCGTATTTCCGCATCAAGTAATGTTGATTTTGTTCTGTTCAAAGTCAATTCATCGTTCATAGCTTCTAAAGCTGCTGTAACGTTGCTGTACTTATCTGGCAATTCAAGCAAAAGATGTACAACTTTATCCGACTCTTCCATTTTTGAGATCATTTCGTTGTCACTAACAAGCTTGTCATATTTCAAGAAGAAACTTTCAAGTTTTTCGTCGCTGTCACATTTCAACTCTATAAATTTTCTCTTTAAATTATATTTGTTCATTATGCTTTTCCTATTGAAAATGCTTTCTAAAGAATCCAACATTTCTTTCGAACTTTTGCAGCCTTTCACAATTTCTAACTACAACAAACACAGACAACAGAGAAAAAAAGTCCAATTTGATGCAATCTTTAAAAAGATATCTGTGCTGCTTGTGCTTACATACTTTTCGGCTCGAGTAGTCTTTGGTCACTCTCACGCCATATTGGGATCTGACATGGAGGCGTGGCCTATTCAATATGGCGCCGACGGGGGTGCATTTGCCTAGTCAAACCGTGATGAAATACCGTAAAATAGTTAAATATCAATATTAGTGGTAGATAATGATAGTCTTAACAATTAATGATATTTGTGAATGGTCCGGTTCAACGCCCAGTAATCGCAATTTTCGAGAGGGTGAACGACTGGTAGCTGCGAAACATTTATTGAATTGTGGTATACACAAACATTTATTGAATTGTGGTAACTAAACCAAGGAAACTCTTTCATTTTAATGTTGTTGCCGTCCCATTCTTTTCTTAGTGGAATAATAATGAGATCTTGTAAAATGCTACTTCACACCACGGACCTGAACTTCACACATGCTTAACCTCAAAAAACGAATTTGACTCACCTGGTAATATATAGTCGTCTTTCAGAAAATGCAATGAACACACTTTCATGTGAGGATTTATTTTACAGTCAATCTTCAAAGCGTTCTTCCATGCTGTGAATTGGTCCACTTTTTCCATTTGACCAAAATAATTTTTGATGTAAACACAACGCGCATTTTTTTTAGGAAACTTATGAAACGTTAATTCACGGTTTTTTTGAAAACTGCTTCCACATCCATACACACAACACTTTATTCTTTTTTTAGAAATCTTGCGAGGGTTAAATATTCCTAATTCTTCCGTCATTTTTTGTTTAATTTCTCAAAAGTACTAATGACACTAATGATAACTTATGTGTTTTGATGAGCGATGCACCCCGGTATTAGTTCCAAAATTGAACACCAGGTGTCTCACGAATTTTGTCAGATCCCAATAGGTTACCTACCTTTTCTTCTACCGTTGGTACCTTGGGAATAACTTTCGGACTTCGGACTCGAGCTCCTTAGTGCTACGGAAAGCACGTTAAGCCGTTGGTCCCGGTTGTACCTGTGGTTGTACATGTATGCCTGTGGATCATGGCCCATTCTCCCTTTACCATACAAAGGGAAGACCTGTGCCCCAGACATTAATAGGTTGATGATGAGGTACTTACAGAAAAAATAAGTTGGTCAGAAAATTTAACTTTTAACGCTACCATATTCTACCAGTAAAATGATTTTTTTTATCGGGCAGGACAAGCTAGTCGAATTCGCTTGTTTTATTATAAAAAGTTCTAAACACAATTATAAGTTTTACATTACCAGACCCCACCATTTCCTTGGCAGGGGGACACGAACGCGACGATTCGGGCGGTTTCTACCCGAGCCGGTGCAGACTAAGCGTCTTCACGAGCACGGTCTAGTACGTTTGTACCGGCCCGAAACCGACGCTAGCGCCCGCCGGTGCGTTAACAAACCTCCATAGTGTCCCACACCTAACTGACTGTGGACACGGTTTAAAACCATGCCTAGGCCCGGGTAGAAATCGTCTCCATAAAAAAGCGCTGTATTATTATTGTTAATTTTCCAGAGCTTCCATCCATGGAGTACTTAGCTGATACAGCGACACAGTAGGTAAAATGAGAGTAAGAATTTGATCTTAACATGGTTAATAGTGGCCGCTTAAACGTCATAGCACACATATCAACCCGGAAAGGGATCGACACCAACTCGCCTTACGGATTGCCGTCAAACGGGCGTCCATTTAATGCCTGCTGTAACGATTTATCGTAACGATTAAACTGTGCAAATCGACTTGCGCAGATTTATCGAACGTGTGTATGACAAATCGTTCTCGATAATCGTTCGTCGGTGGCAGTTGCAATTTTTATTAGATAAATCGTTGTCGATTGCGTTTGCACAGTCTTATCGTTGCGTGTGGATGGCGATCGCTCAGTTCGGCTGTAGGCTCGCAAGTGTGCGCACGTGCGTATCGCTCTTATATGGAAACATGTCTGAAGAAGAAAGAGGTGGTGGTGAATTTCAACTCATTTAACAAGTTGATATGAGAAAAATTGCTTCCTTTTCATGAGCCAGTCTACACCACACACTCCGCTCCTTTTTTTTTCTTTAAACACATAACTAGGCCTAATATCGCAAGTGCGTCATAATTTTCCATCGTGGATGACATGTTTCTTGCGCGAGCTTCTGCGGAGAACAGACCGAACAGACAATCGACGCCGATATCGAAGGCGTGTGGAGTCACTAGGAACGTTCGATTTATCTGCACAGTCTGAAATCGCTACGATATATCGTTACGTGTGTACCGACCATAATGCCTGCTACACATGTAACGATTTATCGTAACGATAAAACTGTGCAGATCGAATTGGGCAGATTTATCGAACGTGTGTATGACAAATCGTTGTCGATTATCGTTCGTCGGTGGCAGTTGCAATTTATATTAGATAAATCGTTATCGATTGCGTTTGCACAGTTTTATCGTCGCGTGTGGATGGCGATCGCTCAGTTCGGCAGTAGGTACTTCACGGAGCTCGCAAGTGTGCGCACATGCGGCTGGCTCTTAAATGTCAACATATCGGAAGAAGAAAGAGAAGGATTATCATGACTGCAACAAAAAAAATGCCTATAACAGGCTTGTCGAAAAATACAAAGCCATCGAACCAAATGCCAATCAATAATCTTAGAAGTACCTATAATAAATAACTCAATAAAAATTCAAGTGCGTCATAATCTTCCATCGTGGATGACATGTTTCTTGCGTGAGCTTCTGCGGAGAACAAACAATCGACGCCGATATCGAAGGCGTGTGGAGTCACTAGGAACGTTAGATTTATCTGCACAGTTTGTTATTATTATCTACGATATATCGTTACGTGTGTACTGACCACTGCCGCTTTGACCGACGCTGACATTTACATTTGCATAAAAATTCTGACGCTCGCTACGAAAGCCCACCTTTAACTTAACGTAAGCATGTAAAGCTAGCGGATAAATACGTTTGGACACCGCGCTTACGGATTGCCGACTGTTGTTCAAGGCTAGGCGGCACAAGTTCGATCGGTCATAGAGAAAGTACGAAACGAAGTGGTTACCTTCTCTATAGACAACGCCATTGAGCTTCGAAGCTAGCCTGCCGGAGGGGTCCACCGCTCCCGAAAAAGCCTACAAAGCCATTTTGGACAGGGTTCCGTACAGGTACTAGTCTTGAGTGTGAACATACTGCACTTACTCAAAAATAGTTCTAACGAACGAATACACGTTGAAACTACCGCCATACTACAGCTAACCATTGCGAGTGTGTTGTTGAACATTGTTTCACATCTGCGAAGTCGTCGTACAGTCTTTCTACATTGTAGTTTGGTTTCTACAAGTTCCTACACTGTGGTCGTAGTGTGTGTGAGTTTTCACAGAGTGGGTGGGCATAACCTACAGTTTTGCGACATCCACATGAACGCAGTGGCAGACATAGCTAGGTACTAAATAATATGAGTGAGCCTAATAACTGTTTTAGCAACAGCAAATAATATTAAAGTAGAAAGAAGGCAAGAAATCTTTAAGAAGAATCAATGCAAATAATAAGACATACCAACACTATGTCATGAGACAAATATAATGATATATTTACTTAAAGATTACTTAATTAATGAGAATCAATCACAATTAAAAATTGCAGTCATGTGGGACAGATAAGTATTTGATTATTATTATATTTCATAACATTTAGTTAATTTCATTTATACACATTATTCTTAATGTTTCATTAAATATTTAATTTTATCTAAAATCAAATTTCATGTATCCATAACATAACTCCATTAATTACCCAAAACTCTATGGCATTAAATCACATTTAACAATCAAATATACTCATATAAAAAAAAATAGGAACATGCCACTGTTACATATATTCAAACTGGGGTGGGTAGTAAGTAGTACTTACTAGTCAATGTTCCTCACATAAAACCACATGCACGAGACGTCAATCAGATTTTAAATTCATTTAAGTCACTTTTTTGCAATAGCAATAGCAATAACATACATAAGACAACCCGTCACATTAACAATCATTAATGAAATTGACGCCTCTATGTATATCTATAAACTTAGACTAAAACAAAAGAGAAGATACGGTACGCTCATACAAGCATCAAATAAAATATGCTCAACGCAAACTTCTGTAAATAAACATTCAATCAAGTGAGCAAGAAAGAACTGTTCAACGCAGCCCGAGCGAAACAGCGAGTTTGTGTTGCTTGACAGCTGACTGCGTTTTCTCTCTCTACAATAGGCTGAGGTGTATTGTTGTCCTTTTCTTGATAAGAAATGACGAATAAGTGAATAAAATCATGACAAACCATGATATTAGAAAAAAAAAGTTTTTATAGTTTTATGGATGAAGTGTTGCTATGGAATTTGTTATCGAAAAATAATCTTATCTCCGCGGGATGATTATTAAGTCGGCGTCGGCAACGCAACTCGGTACGGCATCACTGCATGTCTGCCGATGAACTGCTATAGTAAAGCCCGTTTGCATCTCCTAACGTTTGACATCGCGCCCTCTCTCGCTACGGGACCCACGTTCTGCAGGTGAACCGCGGCGAGAGCGTCGTAAGTAGTCACCGACGCGCGACGGAATAATGTGATTCAAACTTTATGCCAGGTGTGAAATTAGCAGCGAGCTCAACTATGCGCAGTTTCTGTCCACTGACATCTCAGACACACTTAAATCATTGTTTGCTGCCGCGACTAGCACTTACTTCACAGCCACCATGAAGTTTGAATTGCATTATACACTGGCATTTTGCTCGCCTCTTACTTAGAGCCATATGCAATGAAACACATTCTATGAGTGTATAGAAATATGTGGCACAATATCGCCACAATTTTCTCACTCGTGAAATTTGAACGGTAGTGTAATATATTTAAATCAGTTTACTAGGACTTGTAAGTAAATAAAAATTGCAATGTGTTAGATTAACATAAACCTTACCATTGAAAATACACAAACAATATTTGTATTGAATATGAAATTTTGCCTAGTGTACATTATGATTATAATGGATGTTTAATCTAAACACGGCATGCACAGTCAGGAGTTGTCCGAGTAGGTTTCTTGGGAGCACTCAGCCTTTTTGATGTGTTAGTGCCGTATTGTATACCTGATCCTATCCTCTCTGGGTCCAATTCTCCAGTTTCAATTTTTGCAAGTATAGTTTTGGAACATTTCAAAAATGCTTCTTCAACATTTTCTCCTGTTTTAGCACTAGTTTCTAGAAACATTAACTCTGCAATATAACAAAAATAAAATGAACATAAACTATTTATCAAATTAAAATGTAATTAAATAGAAAAAAATCGATTTATTCACCATTTTCTTGTGCAAACTGGCTAGCCTCTGTAAATGTGACTTCTCTAGATTCCTCTAAATCTTTTTTATTCCCAACAAGTAAAATTATGATGTTAGGGCTGGCTAGTGTTCTAGCATCCCTAAGCCAATTTGAGAGTGCATTGAATGAGTCACGTGAAGTTGTGTCATATACTAAAAGGGCTCCAGCAGCACCTCTGTAATATGATCTGGTGACAGACCGGAATCTCTCTTGTCCAGCTGTATCCCATATTTGCAATTTTGTTGATTTACCTCCAATATTAACAATTTTTGAACCAAATTCAACTCCGATAGTGTGGCATCTGTCTTCTTTGACTAAAAATTAAAAAACTTTCAATTTGCACAAAATAGTGTATGATAAAACAACTTAAACAAAGGAAAGGAAAACTGCTAATTGGATTGTATTGTCTTCCTTCCCTTTAACACTTACATTTGTTACCAATGAAATTGTTGAGAAGACTTGATTTCCCAGTTCCTGCACTACCAATCACAAGAAATTTGAACAAATATTCTGTAACAAACAATTGCGACAAAAATACTTTATTTACCAGTCCATTAAACAGTTTAGACATACAATCTCCGCAATATATTTACCATATGATTCAGACATGTTTTTGACGATATCACAGAGGCTCTGTATCCAATATTATATAACTACAAGATAATTTAACAAATCATTTAAACCAACAATTGTTTAATTTCCATTCGTTTTTTATTACAAAAACATAGAAACAGCAAAATTAATTGAAAAACATTTACAATTTGATGACGGATGTCAATGTCAAACGTTAGGGATATAGAGCTGTAGCAAACCGTATGTATTCGGTACTGAGTAACGGGTACGCTATCTAGTACCGAGTAACGAAACATTACACACAAATAAATTTCGTTACTCGCATTTTTCGTAGTATGATGTAGATGATCTATATGTTTCAGTTTAAACAAGTACAGTTGATGTGTGTATAGAAAGATTTGCTGATCTTATGTATTAAGCATATGCGAGCATATTTGGAGAATTTAAAAACGTACGTTGGATTTTTGACGGGATTTCATCGAGTGCGGTTGGCGTCTTATTTTAATTATTCTTAAATTCGTTCATAGTGGATGTTGTGAAATAAAATTGGTGTGATTTTGTGTTACAACCGTCTGCGTACAGTTTGTTTATAAAGTCGTGACATGAATGTTTGAGGAACTAACATTATTCATGTGTCTGGCAACATCAAACTTATATACATCAGCTGTCAAGCTGTCATCGAGTTTTAGTTGTGGAACAGTTTTCCTTTTGTATTTTTATTGTTTGGATTAAACTGTAATAAATTAGGACGAAACTACGCAGAAAGGTATAAAAATTACTAAAGTAAATCGGAGTGGCACGAGGGAAGTGATTTTTAAAGTTTTCCAGCAATGTTTCGAAGACTGGAAGCTGGACGAATTTTGTGGGATTTGCATGATGTTTATGGGCGAACAGCATCTATGGGTGCGGCCAGAGTGCACTCAGATTCAGACTCAGATTCAGATTTCGAAAACAAGCGCGAGAAATAAACAGTGTAGTCTAAGCAGGTTGCTTGCTTTTTCTCGCGCTTTGTTTTCTGAGTCTGAATCTAAATCTGAATCAGGAGTGCAATCTGGCCGTAACCTTCGACTACACTGTTTATTTCTCGCGCTTGTTTTCAGAATCTGAATCTGACTCTGAATCTGAGTGCACTCTGGCCGCACCCTATGACGGGTATGTAATCGTGTAGTTACACGAATCTGCCTGAAGTTACAAATTTACGCAATTTACGATTTTGAGACAGAAAAAGGCAGTGGTGTCGATTCTGGCACGATTCTCTAAATCTAAACTTAAATTTGACAACAGTGGTGTCGATTCTGGCGTGATTCTCTAAACTTAAAACTAAATTTAACATCAGCCTCTCCTTTTCATTCTGTATAGAGAATGATAGGGATGCACTGTTGTCAAATTTAAGTTTAGCTTTAAAGAATCATGCCAGAATCGACATCAATGTATCCTTATCATTCACTATACAGAATGAAAAGGAGAGATTGATGTTAAATTTAGTTTTAAGTTTAGAGAATCACGCCGGATACGACACCATTGTTTACATTGCACATTTTTAGGTTAGATTGACATTGTAAATAGGTAATATTGTAGTACGACCATTTCTTTTGATACGTTATTATGGTTCAACTCGGTCAGGTTTTCTACCAATTTTGAATTAATTGCTTCATGTCAATAAGTTATTGTTTCTATTCCGTTACATATTTTTTTACTTTTTTTCAGGAAAATCAGAGAATCGGATAGTCAACGAAGGTTTTAAGAACGATGGAAAGTTTGAAACTCCTGGGAAAACAGGCAAGGCCGACCAAAGAAAGAAATGGTCACATAAAGAACCATAGCCAGATGCTTTTAGTGAAGATACCTATCATTAATTTTACTAACTGCACATTTACAAATTGTTTCTCTAAATAAACTTTTTATATACTATAAAATGATTTTGAGTATTATTTTCTTAACAAGTGTGTTAAAAAACGACGTATGATGATACTTGTGTGTATTGATGATTACCTAACGGCTCGGGTCTCAATGGCACCTCAGCGGTAATCACCAACATTACACACTTTTACACTATAAAGTACTATTTTATCTATAATAATTTTATTCTGATTCAATTAAATATGCTTGGCTAAACTTTTTATAAGCATAGGTACCTACAATATATAAAACAAAAACAAAATACGACTGTATAGTGTGTCTCATTAATTACCTATTTTACTTGAATGAACTGCTAGTATCAAAATCATTTTGGTCCGACTGTATTGCTACATGCATACTAGTGGCGCCATCATTTAATGTCACGACTTTATAGACAAACTGTAACTGAGGAATTAGTGGAACTATTAAAATATACGCTATTCCGGTCAAATGGACGTGAGAACTTTATTGTCGAGTTGACTACCTCACAGAAGCTTATAGAAAAAGCAAACTTGATAGATTTCGTTTAAAATATTTTTATTTTTTTTATAATCTTATTTTGAGAACAAAAGATTTTTGTAGTAGTTCTTTCTTTCGTTATGTTTAATTTCATTCCAAGCAGAACTATTTTTATGTTGATTTATCGTTAGAATGCTATTTAAGTATTATTATCAATACAATAATATTCGAGACCTATTTGCTTTATCATTATAATTGATGAATAATGGATTGCGATGTTATTGTGATATAACATAAGCTCACGGTTGATTATTTCAAAATAGTAAATCCAATTTTTTAATGAGAAGTAACGAGTAACGTAACGATACTATAGTAACGAGTACTTATTGTTAAAGTAACGAATACAAACGGATACGCTTTTTGACGTGACAACGTCTTAAATTAGGTTGCGGCTGGGAGTCACTTATGAAAAAGTGTAACGCTCGGTAACGTTACGATGAGTCTCTCGTGTTAAGTTTAAGTTTACATGTACAATGTTTTAGTAAACAAAATATATTTCTATAGTTAAAATTTGTGCAATTCTTATTTTCATTCAATTCCTTGTTCCTATTGTGCAATTTAATTATATTCATATCAATAAATATTCTACCGAGAAAAAGACGTTGTCACGTAAAATCTTCGCCCGTAAAACCGACTTTACAGGCAACCATTTTTTTCGTTACTTTTACACCTCTACCCACAAGCCCCAAACCCTTCGGTGGCCGGCCTCTTCTTCGACGAACTGGTGGCGGCGTCGCCGGAGGAGAGAAGTACTCGTCACTGTCGTGACGAGTCCGGTGGTCTCAAACGTGCTGCTTTGCCCCTCGTCAACATTGTAGATTCGTTTCCATTCTCTGTTGTTGTGTTTCATTGTAATTTGTTTTGACACTTTCACATGTCATCGGAATAATCATGTGTGTGACACGGACCTGAAAAAAAGACGGACGTAACCTCGTCTTATCTCGAGTGAAGCATGCAAATGGCCGCCCGCTTACAGCGTGTGCGTGATTTCAGGGTTGTCGGGTAAATCATCAATTTCCCTACTTTTTAAATCTCCCAAACTAAAACATTGTTAACATTATGTAATCAAATATATATTATAAAAACGGGATATTTACCACGTGTTTTACTCGTTGTGAGCTCCTGATTTTTCAGCAATTTAAACGGTCTATCAAATTATTTTTAGGAACACCGAGATAGAAAAGAAAGCACTTGTTATGTAAAAAGAAACTTTATTGTTTACATATAAATGTTAGTGTCTTAATATTATGTATGAGGTTTTTTTGGAACAGTAGCGATAGGTACTCTGTCTATCTTTACATCCTATATCTATGGTTTCATTTGACATCGTGATTTACCTACAATGCGAAGAAATGGCACTACCGTGCAGCCTAAGAAATACAAGAAGAAATTAGTCACGATCATTCAGTTCTCGGTAGCATAGCAATTAGTGCATCCACCCAGACAGCAGAAAATGCAGGTTCAAGTCCTGCCTGTAATTCATTTTGTAATAATTTTGGTTATCGTAATTTAGTTTCAAAAGTTTATTTGTATAGTAGTTCTGTTAACGGGTCTCAACTGTATCTATATATATAAAACTCAAAGGTGACTGACTGACTGACATAGTGATCTATCAACGCACAGCCCAAACCACTGGACAGATCGGGCTGAAATTTGGCATGCAGGTAGATGTTATGACGTAGGCATCCGCTAAGAAAGGATTTTATCAATTCTACCCCCAAAGGGATAAAATAGGGAATGAAAGTTTGTATGGAACTTTGTCAATTTTAAACCGATCGGGCTGAGACTTTGCATGCAGGTATAAGAAAAATCATAGATGAATGTCATTGTGTATAATACAACAATTCAGCTCTACACCGAAGCGAAGCGAGGGCGGATCGCTAGTTTTTAATATTTCTTCTTTACAGGCTCCGGTTTGAACGAAAACCAAACAACGTGTGCACTGCACACAGTACTGGAAGGTGATGGGTCCCTAATTGTTATCCCCTTTGCAGTATCGAAATATTAAAACCCAGTCATCTCTACGGTTTCTATTTCTAGGAAACCTATTAGAAAGAAGACAAGACTATAATTTATATAAAATATTCTATGAATAATATGGCTTCTTTTCTTTTCCTTTTGGGATACGGAACCCTAAAAATTTACGAAATCTTATCTTGCCTAGTCACAAATGCAAGAAATACAAATTTCCCTACTTTTAGAGAAAATTTCCCGTAAATAAAGTAGCCACACAGTTGTATTTTTGTTTACAACTTTCATCCTTGTAAATCTTTATATATATAATTCTTCTGTGAGTGTGTATGTCACTGAACTTCTCTTAAACGACTGGACCGATTTTGATGAAATTTTTTGTGTGTGTTCAAGGGGATCTGAGAATGGTTTAGATTCACAAAGACGTGTAGACAGGACAACGTCTGTCGGGTCCGCTAGTAAAATATAATATAAAAAAAATATCAAGAATCGTCAATACTTAAGCATAGTAGGTGATTCCTTGTGACTTTTCAAATTTACTCGTGTAGTTTTTAAAAGATTTCACCACACAAGACGGCATTTTTTTAAAAACATATCGGAGCAATTGAACGTGTGACTGGCGCTGTCACGCGAGTTCAAATGGCAGCGGATTGTCCGACCTGGTGCATTAGGCCGTATACAGAAAGAAAGCCGAAAGCCGATCGGCGCTTATCGGCGCCGATCCTTCCTACATAAAGGAAGCCGATTAAAGCAGATCAAGCAAAATGTCGGACTCATCGGACGATGATTTGGTTTTGTTAGAAAATATTTATTTAAAAATGCGAAAAACAGCTATACATCCTATAAATAGAGAAAGGAAACGTTTCGGAGAATACCATCATATATTTGTAAAAAAAATTAAATTTGATGAACAAAGATTTTATACATATACAAGAATGATTCAAGAAACATTTTATTACATTTTGGATTTAGTGAAAAACCGTTTGATGAAAAATTGGGGCAATAGGGAAGATGCATATATAATATTTATGAAAATTTTATGATTAAAATGTTAAAAAAGAAATGCCACTGCAACGTTTTTAATTTACATAATGTTGTTTTTTAACAATTATTACGAATTAAAAATACTTGAAACGGAACGTATTTTAAAACACCAATCAGCGTTTAGTGACGTCAGTCCTGTTATGACAACTTCTTTGAGGTTATGGTTGTTAAAGTAAATATTATTTTATGGGAATATTTAATAAAAATGGAAGTTGCATTTATCAAAGCAGACTCCAGGAATTTACCAAGAGTTAGCGTTGACATGGTTATAACTTTTTTTGTCCAAAGTGCAGAGTTTTTAAGTGTAGTAATGATAGGGACTATATTACTACGGTATGTAAAAATCGTAGTTTATTCGTATTTTATTCAGCGGCTTCTACAAATCTTACGGCGATAATACAATCGGCTATGTCCAAATTATAAGAGATGGAAAATTAGGTACAGTAAAAGGTCGAGTTCTCCGGAGCATAAACTACGTAAAGAAGATTATCGTGTTACAGTTATTTTAAATGAAACGCAAAGCTTGGTTCAGTCCTGCCAATGAGAAGAATGTGCCACACATTTTAAACTTTATCTAATTTTCGACGTCATTCTCCAACTGTAAAATTAAAAATATGTTATAGACAGGTTTAGTAAGTATTACGTAGGTTACTAATGCGTTTTTACGTACAAGCAGATTAATTAAGCATATAACAAGTATATTCGCCAACTTACGTCAAAGTGATCTTCTCAGCATCGAATAATGGTCTTTGGAGAATAATTGTCATAGAAATGACAAGAGAGAAGAGAACTTCGCAGCTTGAAACCACTTTTCTTTCAGTTTTGGGTCAGAAGTTCCAGTCAAAAACAATTTATTTGGGAACTTTGTTGAAGTAGATTGGCACAAAACATGAATATTAGTGGTATTGTTATGATCACATGATGTTGATGGATAGTCCATTTTAAATTTTTCAAAAAAATATTTCGAAAGTCGAAAAACTATGCAAAAGTCAGGAAAGTATGAAAATTTAAAGCCAGCAACGAACAATTACGACCAGTGACAGACAGGAGTGACGTCATCGCAACCATAGGTTCGTTTTCGCGCGAAAATTTAAATTGTCAATTTTAAACCGCATTTTTTCCGATAAATCACAATGTTATAATTTTTTAATATATCTGTGGTTTATTCTACATGGAATTCTTTAAAATGACAACAAAAATAAAAATATTGCATCTTCCCTATTGGCATAAACAACCAATCCTTCCAGAAGAAAGACTTGTTGTCACCATTCGGTAAAAATATTTGTTATACTACATAACAAATAATTTTAGCGCTTAGTTAATAAAAGATAAAGTTATTAGATTTATAAAAAGATTATAACTTAGATTGATTTAATCTAAGGATAATAATTCAAATACAAATTATTTATTATTCGAACCAGCGCGTGTCGGCGGTTATCGGCGCTTATCGGCGCCGATCGGCGCCGGTCCATAGAAAAAGGATCAGCGTCAATAGGCGCCGATCGGCGCTGATCGGCGCCGATCGGCTTTCTTTCTGTATACGGCCTTAGTGTGAGTGTAGGTAGTGTACAACACACGATTTTGTCTGACCTACATGTCATTGTCATGCTTCACATGATTTGCCTTTGATATTACGTCCGTCTTTTTTTCAGGTCCGTGGTGTGTGAACAGTTTTCCTTTTTTATTTCTATTTCATTTTTGGTTTTGTAATAGATTAGATATTGAATTGAAATAACTATGGTATAATAAATATGGTAAAACGTATTTTTAATTCGAAATAAAATATTATATTATATATGAGAATTTGGAAACAATGTGTTGTCACGAATTGTTGTGAATTTGTTGTTGTGTTGTTATTATTATTATTATTATCTATGAATTGACATTCCAAGAGCAAGAGCAAAGAATATCACGACTGTGCTAAAAAAAACATTGCTTACGAAACATTGTTGTCTACACAGCAACAACACTACAGCTGCAGCTGAATCTTGTTCGGCCATGTTGCTTTGCGCGGTGCACACGGTATCAATACTATTCTCTGACTGAACACGAAAACATTGTGCAGTTCGGCTTATTGTGCAATATTTTTGTTCGTTTGGATTCAGAGCACCTTTCAATCTTATTGTACAATAAAAGTATTGCAGAAATACATATTTTAAATATTGTATTCCAATATTTTGAATTTTGGAGTTCTTCCTTTAAAACCTGTATTTTGGGGAGATTTCGGGTATTTTTTGGAGCACACTGGCCTGTCTGCCGCCGGCATTACTTTTATTAGCTGTGGATTGTTTACAAAAATTCAAGTACTATACATAAGTTTAAACCTAACTCAATCTAATAAAACCTATGCAATGTCTTTATTATCGGCACTTCGCGTAAGTGAAATTACCTATATTCTTTTCTATTTTTCTTGGTAGGTAACTGCGTAGGTAGATACTTAACTACGACAATGCACAATAGGTACGTACCTATTGTGCAGTTGAATGTCTTTTTTCTATTCTTTATTAGAATAATAACAGTTAGTTGCTATGTATTAAATGTAGTATTAAAAGAGAATGAATGATCTACCACAAATAATAACTATAAAAAAAAATGCCTACCTATATTTATAAATATTTGTTTAAAGCTATCTCAACTACAGTAACCACCCACCCACTACTTGGACTAATTAATATTTTCACTGTTTTAGAGCCCTGCATGCTTTAGCCGACAAATAATTCCAAGAACTGTTAATCAACAGCGAAATTTTTGGGAATATGTTAATATGATGTTTAATAAGCCAGACCCACAACGTATCGAAAAAGTGGGCCCTGATCGAGCCTGTGCAGAATGGGTACTTCGTAATGGTGGCAAAGTTGTTTGGGCTGATGGGAAAAGATTGGCAGATTATAATAATTTACCACCCGAAGACCAGAGTGTACCCAAGATAATTGAAATTGATGGGTCAGACTCTTCTATTTCTCACTATGGATTTCCTCATTTAAGTAATGTATTGTATTAAATTGTATTACTTCACATTTTCAATTATGTCATAACAAACCTGTCTGAAAGAATAATTATGTTTTAGGAGGTTGCAGCAGGCTGGAAAAAGTAATTTTACACAATGACAAATATATAGATGACAGAGCTATTAGAGGACTCTCAAACGGCAAGGATACATTACTTCATGTACAAGTTTCTAAATGCCCAAGTGTGACAGATGATGGAGTCAAAGAATTGAAAATACTAAGCAAACTACAAGAGTTAATTCTGTTTGATTTACATAGTGTTGCTGATCTTAAAGAATGTAAAAATTACCTTAAAATACAGCTCCCTAAATGTAATGTGAAAGATTAAAAATCCAAATAAAATGCAATAAAAGCAAAATATTATGTACATATTTACCTTTTCTCTATCACAACATTTTAAATGTATAAATGTATACACCCCAGAAAACTTCTTCAGCAATAACTACAGGCAAGGAAGCCTGTGCAGTAGCAATTTTAAATACAAAAACATCTACCTATACATGTATGCCTGTGGTTTTGCTGCTACCTATAACCCTTAACTGAGAGAAACATGTTAATATTAAAACATTGTTATTTATTTTAAGTGTATTTTTTTAGCAATTTATTGTATTAAGAGAATCTATAAAAAATAATTATTAAATTGTTATTTACTAATTTCGTTATTATTTTAATCCTTTACCCACAGCATCATTAACATTTTTATAGCCATTTTTTTCAAGCAATTCTGCTAATTCTGTTTTAATTTTAGTTACAATAGGTGGCCCATGGTATATTAAAGCGGTGTATATTTGTATTGCACTAGCACCTGCTAAGATTTTCTCATATGCATCTTTACCACTAAATACACCTCCGACACCTACAATAGGTATCTGTCCTGTAAAGATATTGAGTTTCATGATTTCAGCAATCATAGGTAGGTTTATAAAATGTTATTGTAAGGTTGAAACAACGCTTACCTTTAGTAAGTTTGTACATTTGTTTGATCATTTCTGTTGATTTATTTGTCAGTGGTTTTCCACTAAGGCCACCAACTTCAGATGAAAACTCTTTGTTTAGGAGAGATGACCGGTCTACAGTTGTATTAGAAATTATAAGTCCGTCAACCCGACTTTCTCTTTTGGTGATAACTGATACAATATCTTTCATGTCATCTAAGGTAAGATCCGGAGCCAGCTTTAATAACAATGGTACATTTTTGCTATGAGACATCTCATTTCTTGTTTTATTTAATTCAGTAAGAAGTAATTTCAATTCATCTTTATTTTGCAATGATCGCAAGCCAGGAGTGTTAGGACTATAAAATTATAAATCTATAAGTACTAACATTAAATGCCAAAAAAATCAGAATTGAAATAAAAACTACATACCTGCTGATATTTATGACAAAATAATCTGCAATATTCCCAAATTTTTTTATTCCCTGTACATAATCTCCAATAGCATTTTCAGATAATTTATTTTTGCCTAAATTAATTCCTAGTAATCCTTTATTTAATGCAGTTTTATCTATATTATGCAATTTTTTGTGTACTTGATCATGGCCTTCACTGTTAAAACCATATCTATTTATAACTGCTTTATCTTCTGGTAATCTAAAAACACGTGGTTTTGAGTTTCCAGGTTGAGCCTCAGGTGTGACAGAACCTATTTCAATAATTGAAAATCCAATGTTTCTTAGGCCTATAACTGCATCTCCATGCTTATCAAATCCTGCCGCTATTCCTATAGGATTGCTTAAATAATGGTCAAGAAATTTTGTTTCCTGTAAATAACCATTTCAAAAATAATAGACTTAATATATATTTAAGAAAATGAATCACTGTCTTGTATTTTGCAGATAGTTCCAGATTTTTTGGGCAAAACGTAATAAATAATGGAATTAACAATCCTAATAACGTAAGGTTAAAAATAAGCTAATTTACCAAAATGTTTGGATCTTCAAAGTCCTCAGGTGGGAATAAGCCAAATTTAATTGCTGCCACGCCGATTTTATGAGCCCATTCTGGATTAATGAGCTGGCTTGCGGGTTGTAAAACTTTGTCATAATAACCAACAAAATCTTTTTTGAAATAAATGCATTGGTAAGCCACAGAACCTCCAAGAGTTAAATAGCAAAGAGATTTAATCTTTTTCTGTAAAGAAGATAAAAATAACGATTGCACTTTTATAAAATATCAGATGTAGGGAAATTATCATATTTGTAAATAATTACCACTGCTTGTTTTTTATGACTCATTTTGACTGAAGTTTTTGCATTTAAAATTGTAAGTTTTTACCTCTCGTATTTCTGTGTGCGATTCATTTTTTTTTTGGTTAAGTTCTCCCTTTTCAGAAAGGCAAGGGGAACAATGCCCATACAGCCTAGTCTTAAGTTAAATTATTCTGTTTTTCTTTTTACATTAGAATGTCGGTGTGACGCATTCTAATGTTTCTTGAAGTGTTTGGCACGAAATGTATCGAGCTGGCTTTTTAGATAAGCTTCTGTGAGGTAGTCAATACTACAATAAAATTCTCACGTCCACTTGACCGGAATAGCGTATATTTTGGTGATTCTACTAATTCTTCAGTTACGCAGACAGTTGTAACACAAAATCACACCAATTTTATTTTACAATATCCACTATGAACGAATTTAAGAATAATTAAAATAAGACGCCAACCACACTCGATGAAATCCCGCCAAAAAAAACTGTGTGCGATTCAATTAAGAATATGAAACACAGACCAATAAGAGAACAAGTTCTTCTTCTTTTTCTTTTTTTAAGAGAGAACAAGTTATATGAAACATGTATATATATTATTCTATGATATGAAAGCAAATGACCTCCATCTGTCAGATGTCGCTTGAAAAGTACGGTTTGCAAAAAAAACTTGGTACCCTTTTTAGCACACTGCTAATTCTAGAATAAAAACCAAAGATTTGTAAACAAACAATTACAAAAATATTGATAATTAATATTTTGGAATATATATTTTTTTATTTAATTGAGCTTTGGCTATGACTGGTTGAACTAATTCGTCAAACAAATGCCACTTTAAGTTGCGTTCATAAACTCGATTTAAAACTTTCGTTTACAAGATGCATGTTCGTATATGACGTAGTAATAGTGTATGATTATTCATAACTACTCCGGCGGCGGCGGCAGCGTAGACATGTGTAAGTAATGGCTATTAATATCACTCGAGTAATATTACCCACTTACGTTATGTTTCATTCCCCATTACACGAGCCGACTTGCCTGCCGCAGGTACAATCTAGGGTGTAAGTATGAGTAAGGGATGAGCCTTAATTGCCTCTTGAATTGTGATGTGTGTAGGCAAGTTGGTGTAATTTTATAAATCGGGCCTGCGACAGGGCGGCAGAAGTCGCGAAATGTAAATATTGGATATGGCAACAAAATCCTGTAATCTGTGGTGAGTAACATTAACCGATTTTAATACCTAATCTGTGGCCCGTAACTCCGCGGTTTTTTACCTGTCAGAAAAGTTTCTTTTCCTTTTCGACTCCGGCTGAAATGTGTGCTGTTTGCGAGATTCTGGATATGAGAGCTAAGTATCTTCCCCGAGTCGATTAATTACTATTTATGGTTTATGTGATGTGTATCATGATTTCACGTGTTGATTGGAAGGTCGGAAAAGGGACTTACCTATATTAAGAGCAATACAATTGTAACATAGATTGGCGTTAGCCAGAAGAAAGGCTACCCGTAAATTGTACTGGCGATGTACAATTTACGGGTGTTGCACGTAGAGTTAGTCAGAGTGCACTTGACTGAACAAACAGGATACGCCGAAAGTGTCCTGTGCCAATCATGAAGCATTGGCTTCATGATCAAAGGCTTATGGTAATCAAAAGGGATACGCTGAAAGTGTCCTCCGCCAATCATGAAGCATTGGCTTCATGATCAAAGGCTTATGATAATCGACCAGGACACGCTGAAGGGGTCCTATGCCAATCATGAAACGAAATGTAAAATGAGTAGAAAATCCACGTGAATGTATATGTGAATACTGATGTGTGTGTACATGTAATGTATAGGTATTAATCATGGCTAGGAAGATGCTTAGTGTCTCAACTCTGAGATTCATGGTATAATTTCTCTGTACAGGTTCCTTGATGATATTGACAATTGACGAAGGGAATAAATTGAAATAAGCGATGCAGATATCTATAGCAAATTTAACACAAGACAGAATAAGGTATGAAACATTAATGTAATATGCACTAGTATAGTAACATGTTTAAATTGTTCAATGCCGAAAGTATGAATAATCGCGGTCTGCCTCAGTCCATTGTACACCCTGCTGGTGTGGGTTGTAGGCAGACGATGAGACATGTGTGGTTCTGTGTGGTTTCTGGTTGAACCTCTAAAGAATGTGTCAGTATTTGGTAGTAGTTAATATACTTCATTGCACTAGGTATAAAGATAGAATAAGACAACCACACCGAACGCCCACAGAGTCTCATGCGCGACACCTGCCGCCCTGCACGTTGCCGCGTGTGTAGCGCGATTGGGGCAATTTCTAAATCAGTCGGTTGGTAGCTGTCACAGCGCATGTATTTCGATGAAGATGGCGGCAGATCTTAATGAGCATGAAGTTTGGACACAAGAGATCGAAGTATATAAAGACCGGCCCCACGATAAAATATATTTTTTTTTAAGCATGTTCAACTCGATGTTTAAATCTAAAGAAAAATGTTACTAGAAAAATTTTTCTTGTAATTATTTTCTTTAGATTCAAACATTGAGCAGTTACATGCTTAAAAAATTAAAATTGCTATTTCTTCTTTCAAATGTCAATACTTGTAAAGGTATTAATTTGACATTGTGGGTTACTTATAAAGCGAAGAGAGGCGCTGCCTTGCAGCTGAAGAAAGGCTAGAAATAATTGGATACGGCCATCAGGGCCGCGGTAGCATAATTGATCAGTGCATTCGCCCGGATAGCGAATTGTGCGGGTTCGAGTCCCGTCTGCTGCCAAGTCCGCGTGAATTTTTTTCTAGTAATATAAATATTCCTTATTTACAATACATTTCTTTCTGTCGCCAATTCTTCACCCAGTATTTCCTTTTTTGCAGTAACACCATAGAAAAAGCCAAGGAATTGCCTAACGATCTTCTGATTTTTTGATAACATTGGGACCATCATCAACGCGTGTGTTTAGTTCAACATACCCCCGACACTGAATAGCAGGCATATGTGTAGAGACAAGCCGACATTGCCCCTTTTGCCTATGTCAGTAAGCGCTTTTAACCCACCAAGCGGCGACGGCGACGCGACACGAACGAAATACCGAATGAAAATCTTTCATGAAATGAAAAATGAAATGTTACACACACAAACATACAAACTTTTACATTTATAATATTAGTGGGAAGGGATATTTATCATGTTATAATAGGTTACTCGAGTAATCGCCCCTAAATAATTAATTAATACGCAATACCATACCTACCCACCACATACGTTTATATAGAAATCACAAAAGTAGCCAAGTATTTATTAGCGATGCTTAAGTTGTCAACGATAAACGTAATAGGTATTATGTTGAAAGCTTAAAACATTAAATTAAGAAACAATACGGGAATTCAAAAAATGTACTCTAAACTGTTAAGTATAAAGTCCATTTTTGTTTCTACCTTCATAAGGGGGAAAAATACTCCTAGCGGGACACGACGAAAGTGGAATCTGTCCCTCTCTTGCAACTGTTTGGGCACACTACTAGAACTCAGCTATGCTCTTGGAACGCTTTTGAGGATTGCGTAAGAAGAATGGAAGTAGAAAAAAATAAAGAAAATATAACTAGAAAAAATTCCACGCGGACCAGGCAGCAGACGGGACTCGAACCCGCACCCTTCGCAATCCGGGCGAATGCACTGACCAATTATGCTACCGCGGCCCTCACGGACCGCGTCGAAATTCCTTCTAGCTATTCTTAAGCTGCAAGGCAGCGCCATCTCTTCGCATTATAGGTAAACCCACAATGTCAAATGAATACTTTTACAAGTATTAAACACTTGAAAGAAGAAATAGCAATTATAGTTATAATAATTTTTATTATTTTTAAAGCATGTAACTGCTTGATGTTTAAATCTAAAGAAAATATAACTAGAAAAAATTCCACGCGGACCAGGCAGCAGACGGGACTCGAACCCGCACCCTTCGCAATCCGGGCGAATGCACTGACCAATTATGCTACCGCGGCCCTCACGGACCGCGTCGAAATTCTTTCTAGCTATTCTTAAGCTGCAAGGCAGCGCCATCTTTTCGCATTATAGGTAAACCCACAATGTCAAATGAATACTTTTACAAGTATTAAACACTTGAAAGAAGAAATAGCAATTATAGTTATAATAATTTTTATTATTTTTAAAGCATGTAACTGCTTGATGTTTAAATCTAAAGAAAATATAACTAGAAAAAATTCCACGCGGACCAGGCAGCAGACGGGACTCGAACCCGCACCCTTCGCAATCCGGGCGAATGCACTGACCAATTATGCTACCGCGGCCCTCACGGACCGCGTCGAAATTCCTTCTAGCTATTCTTAAGCTGCAAGGCAGCGCCATCTCTTCGCATTATAGGTAAACCCACAATGTCAAATGAATACTTTTACAAGTATTAAACACTTGAAAGAAGAAATAGCAATTATAGTTATAATAATTTTTATTATTTTTAAAGCATGTAACTGCTTGATGTTTAAATCTAAAGAAAATATAACTAGAAAAAATTCCACGCGGACCAGGCAGCAGACGGGACTCGAACCCGCACCCTTCGCAATCCGGGTGAATGCACTGACCAATTATGCTACCGCGGCCCTCACGGACCGCGTCGAAATTCCTTCTAGCTATTCTTAAGCTGCAAGGCAGCGCCATCTCTTCGCATTATAGGTAAACCCACAATGTCAAATGAATACTTTTACAAGTATTAAACACTTGAAAGAAGAAATAGCAATTATAGTTATAATAATTTTTATTATTTTTAAAGCATGTAACTGCTTGATGTTTAAATCTAAAGAAAATATAACTAGAAAAAAAAAGATTCATTTGACATTGTGGGTTTACCTATAATGCGAAGAGATGGCGCTGCCTTGCAGCTTAAGAATAGCTAGAAGGAATTTCGACGCGGTCCGTGAGGGCCGCGGTAGCATAATTGGTCAGTGCATTCGCCCGGATTGCGAAGGGTGCGGGTTCGAGTCCCGTCTGCTGCCTGGTCCGAGTGGAATTTTTTCTAGTTATATTTTCTTTAGATTTAAACATCAAGCAGTTACATGCTTTAAAAATAATAAAAAATATTATAACTATAATTGCTATTTCTTCTTTCAAGTGTTTAATACTTGTAAAAGTATTCATTTGACATTGTGGGTTTACCTATAATGCGAAGAGATGGCGCTGCCTTGCAGCTTAAGAATAGCTAGAAGGAATTTCGACGCGGTCCGTGAGGGCCGCGGTAGCATAATTGGTCAGTGCATTCGCCCGGATTGCGAAGGGTGCGGGTTCGAGTCCCGTCTGCTGCCTGGTCCGCGTGGAATTTTTTCTAGTTATATTTTCTTTAGATTTAAACATCAAGCAGTTACATGCTTTAAAAATAATAAAAATTATTATAACTATAATTGCTATTTCTTCTTTCAAGTGTTTAATACTTGTAAAAGTATTCATTTGACATTGTGGGTTTACCTATAATGCGAAGAGATGGCGCTGCCTTGCAGCTTAAGAATAGCTAGAAGGAATTTCGACGCGGTCCGTGAGGGCCGCGGTAGCATAATTGGTCAGTGCATTCGCCCGGATTGCGAAGGGTGCGGGTTCGAGTCCCGTCTGCTGCCTGGTCCGCGTGGAATTTTTTCTAGTTATATTTTCTTTAGATTTAAACATCAAGCAGTTACATGCTTTAAAAATAATAAAAATTATTATAACTATAATTGCTATTTCTTCTTTCAAGTGTCTAATACTTGTAAAAGTATTCATTTGACATTGTGGGTTTACCTATAATGCGAAGAGATGGCGCTGCCTTGCAGCTTAAGAATAGCTAGAAGGAATTTCGACGCGGTCCGTGAGGGCCGCGGTAGCATAATTGGTCAGTGCATTCGCCCGGATTGCGAAGGGTGCGGGTTCGAGTCCCGTCTGCTGCCTGGTCCGCGTGGAATTTTTTCTAGTTATATTTTCTTTAGATTTAAACATCAAGCAGTTACATGCTTTAAAAATAATAAAAATTATTATAACTATAATTGCTATTTCTTCTTTCAAGTGTTTAATACTTGTAAAAGTATTCATTTGACATTGTGGGTTTACCTATAATGCGAAGAGATGGCGCTGCCTTGCAGCTTAAGAATAGCTAGAAGGAATTTCGACGCGGTCCGTGAGGGCCGCGGTAGCATAATTGGTCAGTGCATTCGCCCGGATTGCGAAGGGTGCGGGTTCGAGTCCCGTCTGCTGCCTGGTCCGCGTGGAATTTTTTCTAGTTATATTTTCTTTAGATTTAAACATCAAGCAGTTACATGCTTTAAAAATAATAAAAAATATTATAACTATAATTGCTATTTCTTCTTTCAAGTGTTTAATACTTGTAAAAGTATTCATTTGACATTGTGGGTTTACCTATAATGCGAAGAGATGGCGCTGCCTTGCAGCTTAAGAATAGCTAGAAGGAATTTCGACGCGGTCCGTGAGGGCCGCGGTAGCATAATTGGTCAGTGCATTCGCCCGGATTGCGAAGGGTGCGGGTTCGAGTCCCGTCTGCTGCCTGGTCCGCGTGGAATTTTTTCTAGTTATATTTTCTTTAGATTTAAACATCAAGCAGTTACATGCTTTAAAAATAATAAAAATTATTATAACTATAATTGCTATTTCTTCTTTCAAGTGTTTAATACTTGTAAAAGTATTCATTTGACATTGTGGGTTTACCTATAATGCGAAGAGATGGCGCTGCCTTGCAGCTTAAGAATAGCTAGAAGGAATTTCGACGCGGTCCGTGAGGGCCGCGGTAGCATAATTGGTCAGTGCATTCGCCCGGATTGCGAAGGGTGCGGGTTCGAGTCCCGTCTGCTGCCTGGTCCGCGTGGAATTTTTTCTAGTTATATTTTCTTTAGATTTAAACATCAAGCAGTTACATGCTTTAAAAATAATAAAAATTATTATAACTATAATTGCTATTTCTTCTTTCAAGTGTTTAATACTTGTAAAAGTATTCATTTGACATTGTGGGTTTACCTATAATGCGAAGAGATGGCGCTGCCTTGCAGCTTAAGAATAGCTAGAAGGAATTTCGACGCGGTCCGTGAGGGCCGCGGTAGCATAATTGGTCAGTGCATTCGCCCGGATTGCGAAGGGTGCGGGTTCGAGTCCCGTCTGCTGCCTGGTCCGCGTGGAATTTTTTCTAGTTATATTTTCTTTAGATTTAAACATCAAGCAGTTACATGCTTTAAAAATAATAAAATTATTATAACTATAATTGCTATTTCTTCTTTCAAGTGTTTAATACTTGTAAAAGTATTCATTTGACATTGTGGGTTTACCTATAATGCGAAGAGATGGCGCTGCCTTGCAGCTTAAGAATAGCTAGAAGGAATTTCGACGCGGTCCGTGAAGGCCGCGGTAGCATAATTGGTCAGTGCATTCGCCCGGATTGCGAAGGGTGCGGGTTCGAGTCCCGTCTGCTGCCTGGTCCGCGTGGAATTTTTTCTAGTTATATTTTCTTTAGATTTAAACATCAAGCGGTTACATGCTTTAAAAATAATAAAAATTATTAGAAAAAAATAAGTAAAAAATATAACATTAAATATTAGGAAAAGCAAGAATAGGCTAGTTGACCCTTTTTGGAAAAAGGTTTTAAATGGTTAATAAATGTTCTATTAGACCGAAAAAAAATGAATTGTATTTTTTTTAAACCTAGAAAGCTACAAATCCTTAATTTTAAAATAGAATTTTCATGGACATACAAAAACGCTGTCGGCCATTTTAGTCTATAGATTATCTATGCTAAGACGTGAACTGCGGTAAACAAAAACTCGTAAACACGTAGAAAATTACTTTTAACTGAGTTTATAATAAAAAAAAAACATGATTTCTAATAAATACCACGAAAACTAAAGTAATTATCATTACTGTATTGTACGAGAATATAAAAACCCGTCCTTGAAGACTCCAGGAAAGTTGTGAAAGTGCCGAAAGAAATTAACCTACGCAACTTTATTACACTTATTCATATGTTGTATTAGTTTTATGTTTATTACTTCATTGTAATACTAAATGCACTGTACTTACATAGATGCCTTGTCGTTTCTCTGCTCCGCAGAGCAGAAATCGGGGTTTAGTGCAACAAATTCAATAACCATCACTGCGTCAATTCTTGGAAGATTTGTGCTTTCTGCTTTCACAAAGCCCGCATCCATAATTAGTTTTGTCAAAAAAAACTAAGTTTACTGTTTTTTCTTTCCTAAAGTTAAAAGTGTTTTAAGATAAATTTAGTCAGACGAAAGAATTCACCTACAGTAACACGCGAATGACATATAGTTGTTTACCACAAGAGACGTCAAAATCATGGCGGATGTGGCGAACAGCGTTTTTAGTGTTTAAAAAATATAGACTAAAAAATATTTTTTAAAATTAAATTTCTACAGCAATCTTCTGCTTTTATGAAGTGAAATCAATATATTAAGGTTCCTTAGACTAAATACTTTAAGAAATAAACATTTATTTAATACAATTCGACATGAGTAAACTAGCCTATTCTAATAAAAAAAGCTTCAAAATAAATAATTCATAAAACTAAAAATCAGGCTGTCTGGGCATTGTTCCCTTCCCCTTGCCTTCCCAGAAGAGGAAAACCTATAAAAAAGAATGTTTTTGTGTAGTAATAACAATTTGTACATATTTTAAAATATACAAATACTTATCGTTGTTTGAATTTGTTGCCCAAGCCCAAAATATTCTTTATATTACATACAATTAAACAATCAATCAAAATGAAAGCTATTCTTATATTTGATAGTGTTAATGGTTTGTTATTTTCTAAATGGGACGACTTTTTTATACAAAGAATGAAATGTTTTAATGAACAGGTACCTAGTTTTTGGCTCTAAGAAATACGTAAATCGAGCAAGTTCGTTAGCATAGATAAGTTAGTGAAATATATCAATTACACGCCTGTTGTAAATTTTAGGAAAATGAGGGAATTTCTGATATTTACAATGTAGCTCAACTACTTTCTCCAATAATTACTTCTCAACGAGTGATGGCTGCACAATTTGGCAACACATATTCTTCTATGCAATGTAAAGATAATACTACTATTGTTTTCGATGAGGTATTGTTTAATTAAAACCAATGTTGTGTCAAGTTTTGTTACTTTTCCTGGAATACCTAGTTAGATACTAATAATTATTTTGTTTTCCTTTTTAGTGGTTAGATCATGTTTTTATGATTGTCAGTGAGGACACTGTTGATGATTCTCATAGAGAACTCTTAGACTGTAAAACACTTGTTCAGCATATTTGTGGGCAAAACATAAATTTGTAAGTATTGAAAGCTTGTTTTATATAATTTAGCGGTGGGTCGTTCTCAAAATTTCTGATGACGAAATGCAACCGTTTCTTCTTAAACAAAAACTAGTCCTCGAAACGGTTCTCGTTCGCAACTGGTTTTGGTTGCGGCCGGGTGACGCAACGAAACGACACACAACGGTCGAACGAATGTATCGCAACGAAACTGAACTAAATGAAATCTTGTTAACGTTCGTTTCGTTGCTGTGAACGAGACGACGAAACATCGAAATAAATGTTGTGTTATACGATAATCAACTTTAAATGTTCAATAATAAAGATTGTATTATTGTAAAATTAAAGCTTAATTATCATAGAACGAAACGGCCACATATCATTGCGTTCTATTATAGACTGTATTTACTTCATAAAGTACATATTGGCGTGCAGACAATCCGAGGACTAGTTGTTCGACGAAGACTGTTTTGATCCGAAACGTAAAACGGTTCTATCGTCGCAGACCACAACACGGTCCTTGAAACCGGTTCCTCTTTAGAACGCTCACACCTAATATAATTATACTAGCACTATTTTTCCAGGATAAAAAGTATCACTTGTCTATATCCAGTTCATAAGCTATGTGCATACCAAAGATCCAAAGCCATTCAGTTTTTGCATGATTGAGTAACAAGCATTTCAAAATTCAACCTTTTATATCTATAATATTAGTAGGATTCATCTAACAATATATTAAACTGTTGCAATATTTTCTGATTAAATAGATTACAATCTCCAATATACCAAGATTGGTTATCAGTTTTACTAGACAGTCGTACAAAAGGTGATTCAATCCCTGGTGCGAGTGGCATGATTGGAGAAAGCGGAGCTACAGCAGCTTCCTTGAATGCTCTCAAAACAGCTTCCAAAGAGATTAAGTGTTCACCACACCAGCATTATCATGTGATGCTTTATGTTGGTGATAAGATATTAGCTCTCTATTCAAGGTGAGGTAATTTTATGATAATTTTATTATACTAAAAATCTTTCATAAAATCTGCTAATATATCATCTCCTTTTTAGTCGCGGCAGTGAGGATCTTACATCACCAGACTTAATTTTAATGAGTATTCAATGTATAGCTGCACAAGAACATTGGGAGCATTTTAAAAATACTGAATCTGCTGCTGTACATCTGCCTTGTAAGGGATAATATTTCTATATTCTTCTATAGTATTAAAGTTTATAGAAAATGGATATTTAGACAAATAATTTTCATGAGGATAAGTGTTATTGAATAATAATCATAGGATGGCACTGTATATTTTTTTTTCTTTCTGCCATCTGAATAAAAAGAAATAATAAATAAATTAATAACTGAATTTGCACTTGAATAGTTTGTACAAAACTGTAAAAAATGAATAACTACATTAGTTCATTAGAAAAAAGACGCACTTATTTGGATCAAATTTTTCTTTACAAAATTATAAACAATAGAATAGACTCGGCCCCTTTATTAGAACTAATTAAATTTAAAATACCACGAACCTCCTCACGTTCTAAATCTATATTTTATATTTCACCTTCTTATACTAATTATGCTGGAAATACGTTCATGCGGCGGGCTTGTAGGTACTACAATGGTTTTTTGGGAGATGTTGATGTGTTTTTCCTATCTTTGAATATGTATAAAAAAATGGTGGGCGAACATGTAATGCGATGAGCGAGGGGTCGGAGTATTGGTCTGTTGAGTCAGAGACCAGCACCTGTGTTGGTGATTGATACTGCAGATTGGGGGTTTGTCCCTGCGTTTATTGCATTATACCATTTGGCTCAATAGTTGTACTGAATTTCTTTTCTAAATTATGGTGTTATTCCACTTCTATTAAGTTCATTATTATATAAGTTAGGTCATATGTTATGGAACTGTTAGGTCAGTTTGTTACGATGAAATTGTTCATATTATATTATGTATGACTGTTTGTTCCTTATTAAATAAATAAAAAAAAAAAAAAGTCAGAGGCTGTGTCGCAGTTGCTAGTGCCCCACCTCAAACATGATAACTAGTAACAATAAACACTAAAAATTGGTGTGTGTGTGTATATCTCTCTGTGTATGTTGAAGGTTGATCATTAGCCTACTCCATCATCAATCATCGCCATCATCAACAGCCTATCCTAGTCCATTGCTGGACATAGGCCTCTCCAATTGCACGCCAATTAGATTGATCTTGGGCTACTCACATCCAGCTCCTGCCAGCCACCTTGCGCAAATCGTCACTCCATCGTGCCTGATGAGAACGTCCTACACTACGTTTGCCTAGACGCGGTCTCCACTCCAGAACTCGTCTACCCCAACGGTTATTGGTTCTTAGGCAAATATGGCCAAATCGCAAGTGAGAGATACGACCACCATTTATGTTGATGCCACGTCCATTCCAGTTCAGCGTCTTGTACATATCCATTGCATTAGAGAACAATTTCGGGGAAATAACGTCCTTTTGTCTGACTCCACGATGCAACGGTATGGGACTTGTTTGCTAATTTTGTACTTGGACAGACATGCTGGCGGCTTCGTAGAGACATCTAATCACTTGGATGTATCGCCAGTCGACTTGGTAACGCTGCAGGGACAAAGGCCTTCTTATAGTCCATAAATGCTAGGCACAGGGGCTGATTGTCGGTCTTCTGTATAATCTGCCGTACTGTGTGGATGTGGTCTATGGTGCCGTATCCGCTCCGAAACTCAGCCTGTTCCGGTGGTTGGAAGTCATCAAGTCTTCGCGCAAGACGGTTCGCGATCACTCTTGAGTACAGCTTATAGAGGTGGCTTAGAAGGGATATGAATCGATAGTTCATAAATAGGGTCTTGTCCCCCCTTTTAAAGAACAACACGACCACATTCCTACTCCACACCTCCGGAGTTCTCCCTTCGAATAGGACAGTGTTAAAAAGCTTTTGGAGCTCCCTCACTACGGGTTTACCTCCAGCTTTCAAGAGTTCTGTTTAACCACCATTCTCTCCTCTTCCATTTTCAGCAAACTCGATTTCGTCAATACTGACTTCTGGCAGGTCTTCGGTGAAGTGGCGTCTTAATGTGGCTCTAGAATCCTCATTTCCGGGATCGGGTCGAGATGCATGTGATACGTGCAACTGGCCGTAGAAGTCTTCCACTTCCGAAAGGACTGCCGGCTTTGAAGCAACAACTTACCCACTTGCGGTGGTCAACTTCGTCAGATGGCTTCTTCTAAGAGATTGTACGAACACTTTGGACCCTCGATTCTGCTCGATCCCTCTCTCGATCGGGAGAGTATTTGAGCACCGGAGGTCGTGTCGTACGTGCTTACTAATCTCTTGGTTTAGAGTCCGCTTTGCCGACGAAGTGACGAGTGGATTTTCACGTTGTTCCTGCATTAGCCCTAGAGTCTCTAAGCTTTGACTTCCTGCTCTTACGCTGCGTTACACATAAACTCGTACCCTCTTCCTTGTGGATCCGAACCACATTTTCGAGGTTTTGGTTTACGTCTGATGTGGTTTCCACGGCAGCAAATCGGTTCTCCAGATTTGACTGGAACGTTTCAGATCCTGTTATGGATTGGAGCAGAGTAGGTTGGAGCCTGGATTTCATCAAACGGACGCGCTCGGCCTTAAAGTTGATATTCAGAGAGCCCCAGACGAGTCGGTAACACTACCGGTATTGAACCTGTTGATCACGGAGACGTCTCTGAATATGTATTTCTTATCCGTCATGATGAAATCGATCTCATTTTAAGCCATAGATTTAGGGCTTTGCCATATCCACTTTCTTTGGTGCTGTTTCTTGAAGAAAGAGTTTATCAAGAAGAGCCCTTCCCGTTCGAGGAAGTTGACGGGCATTTGCCCTCTATGATTTCTGGTTCCAAATCCATGGGATCCTACTACCGATTCGCTGCAATTCTGTACTCCCACTTTAACGTTGAAGTCCCCCATGACATGGTTGTAGTGGGTCTTAGTAGTGGAGTGGAGGGCCCTCGATATATCATCTAACATATCCTCCACTTCGTCGTCCGAGTTTGTCGAAGTCGGTGCGTAACTGCGTACACCATACTTGTTACTTAAATTTTCATGCACATAAAACATGTGATAAAATGGGTACACTGGGTGTTCAAATAAAACGAGACTGTACTTTTTTACATAATCACGATTGTGCCCACCGAGCCTTCAGGCTGTCTAATTGTAAATGTTTTTACTGTTTCATTCAGAACTAAGGAAAGTGTCACTACATGACAGTAAGAAATCTCTTTCCCAGCTATTAAAATGAAAGAGACTGGTAAACAAAAAAGTTACTCAATTAACTCCTGAAAGGTTATGGAATGTTAAGGATTATGGATAAAACACCTATTTAAAGTGTGATCAATGGTTAAGATTGCTTTTTTATCGTTTTTCAGGGTTATCTGAAGAAAATAGTGCTATAGTAAATCTTTGTGCAGGAGCCACATGTAGCCCTTGTGCTCCTTATTCTATGCATTTGGCTGAAGTGGCGCCACGCATTATTTTTGTCATTCTGGTTGACATGGATATGAGGTATTTTTTTTATTGAAATGATTTAACAGATTTAAAAGGTTGATACATATAATCAGAAAAACCATAAAGATGATGAAAGGACTAACTATCACTTAGATTTATATTATAAATATGAATTGCTTAACTTATTTAATAAATAATGATAACATTACAAAATGTGTGGGTGGAGATAATTCCTCCATTGTATTCTTTTATTACATTTAAATCTTTTAATTTCAGAGATGTTGGTATAGCTTCACATATTACAGGCCAAATATTATCCAACTTAAGAAGGCTACTACTTCAAAGAAACTTGGAACTGCTGCCTAATACACTTGACTCATTAGATGCTGCAGTCAAAAAGGTATATTCTTGAAGAAAAGTGTCTTCCTAGTCCTATTTATTTACATAAAATATATACATATATGGTATGTAATATGTTGTGTTATAGCTAAGAAAATTTATCTCTTATTATTCAGACAAGTGAAGCCCTACGTAAGAACAAAATGAACACTAATTTGTGTACAAGACTGACTTCACGCATGCTCGAATTGCGAAAATCTTGCACAACTACAACACCATTGACCCCAGAAACTGCCGCAACGGCGATGCACACTGCTCTAGAAGCTGTCATAGAACAGCTAAAACCAGACATTCCAAGTATCAAAATAGTACAGCCTTTAAAGGACTTAAGAGTTGCCTTGGCTCCCTATGTTGAGTTTCTACGTGTTAAAGCTATGAGATACTTCAGTTTGGGATCATATCCTTTTCAATTTAATCTAATGGTAGTCTTAGGGCCTCGTTCACCATCTCTGAGTAAAGTGTCGAGTAGACTATTCGTCACATAAAGTCGCAAGTAAAACTTATCTCGAATTTCACGATCTACGAGTAACGCTAATCAACGGTTAAAGTAGCCTATAACTTATTTTTAACTTCGACTGGCGAGTAACTATTTCAATTTTCGGATAAGAGAATTGTATTTAGTAGCTTCTGTGAAAATTTAAGCTATTTCGATACGTTACTAAGAAAATAATGGATTTATTTGATTTAATTGAGCTCCAAATTGATGAGTTAGAAGACTACTATTATTCTTTACAAAGAATTCCGCGGATTCGAGTTTACAATGTCCGTGTTGATTATTTTTTGAAATTTGATGATCAAGAATTTTTTGCTCGATTTCGGTTATCTAAAAATGCAGTTAATCATGTGCATAATCTAATTAACCACAATATAATAACCAAGATTCAAAGGTGAGTGATGATAAAACTATCTACATTAGATTGAATACCTAGATGTCTGTAAAAAAAACTTCCTTCCTAACCTATAAACAAAACACAACTCTTTTTTTCTTTCAAGTAACACCATCACTTCGCTAATTCTCAATTATATTGCGATATTTTTGCACAAGAGTTCCATATAAATCTCTTTCGTCCGAATTAAAATTTGCACTTCTTTCTCTTTTTATAACATAATAATGGCTAAAAAGCCATGATTATTTATAATTTTAATTGAAAAAACACGGAAACGCAAAATATATTGAAGAAAATACACCACGAGAAATCAACAACAACACGACACCGACACAAAAGAATCCAGAGTTCTATCTGACAGTGACATTAGTTTGATGTTAATGACAACGAAATGAGTGAATTTTTCAAAATGAATGAACGATTCGCCGACGTCAATCTTTTAACCGCTGAGTAGCTACTCGATACTTCATGTTTGCATGTGAAATTGCAATGTGATACTTTTTAGTTTTACTTGCTGAGTAATGTTAATTGGGAAGTAACTAATCAGAATTTTACTCAGAGATGGTGAACGAGGCCCATATAATGTTCTGTTTATTTTAAGCTGCATCTGCACTCTTAACATTATGGCAATATCAGGGGCAGTGCGGAGCCTAGCCCTTGATCAGTTTAGACAGAAAGGGGATTTTGTTTTTCAGCGCTGTGGTCGACGCTTTTAATTCCTGTAAATTTTACTTTTGGCTGGAAATGGTTTTGACGATTATTGAAGTGAAAACTACTTTAGCGTCGTTGTACACTTTTTTGTAATGGGTAAAGTAAGACGAAAACAATAAAATTGGAAAGGTTGTTCACTTTCAATATATTGGACGAAACACAGTACATAATATTTTTGCTCAAATTAAAACTTACTTTGCAAACATAGTAAGCTTTATTGCGAAGAAAATGCATGTTTTTCACAATAGATGTCGCTAGGTGCTCTCAAATGTGATTCATGTAGGTTGATTTTTCTGAGAGATAAACTTTTTAATGTAATATAAATTGTCATGTTTGTGTACGATAGCGCAATAAATAAATATTGTATTCTACCACATAAATGATAGTGCTTTTATACTGATAATTATAGCAATTCGTGCAAAATTATTCCCTAACCATTCCAAAATATCAAAAATGCACAACGTTAATATTCAAGTTTTCACTTCTGCCGGCACTCACGGAGTGCAACCCGTTTTTTTATTTGGAGCCACTTGCCACCGGACGCCTAGAGTGAATGCTCTACTCCTTAGAGTATTGATTTTGTACTATACGTAGTAGACTTCACTCGCTTTACCCATAATCATGGCCTGTGCTGATCTAATTGCGTATTTTTTTGCTTTCCGCGATCTCATTCATTTTATAGTTGGGAAAGTGTATAATTGTGTTAAATCGACACTTTTCTTTAGCTTTCAAGGAGATGGCTTTAGAAAAGAATTAGAGTCTATTCACACCGGAATGGAAACGGCCGGCAGAGACGGGACGAGCATTTTCTCACTGAAAACGGTGTGAAATAATTTAGGCTTTATAAACATAGTTATAAAGACCAAGATAGCTTGAAAAGGTTCCGCGGTATCGCGAGCGGGTGGCCGTGGTGACTGCGCGCATTATTGCGCGCACTTTCTCACTGAAGTATAAAATTATTTCAGTGAGAAAGTGCGCGCTGCTTCCCTGCCGGCCGCTGCAATTCTGGTGTGAATTGTCCTTTAAATTTAGCCAATAAGTCCCCAAATCTATGCGTGCCATTGACGAGTTTCATTTTCACTAAGTTTCGAAGCTGACATACCCTGAAGATGTATGCATTATCAGCACATAAGATTCCTGATATTATTATTTTCTTATCAAACTTGATAGTTGTGACATGGTTTCCATCCCAATTCTTGTGAACAGGTTAGAAGAAATCGGAATAAGAGGGACTGCCTTATCTCCTTTCGAGAATTACCTATTAAGGAGGACACGTAGTGAAGGTTGGCGATTATCACAGTGATGAGGAAGAGGTGGTCTTCCGTGTTCCACAAGGGAGTTTATTTGGCCCTACAGTATTTCTGGTGTACTTTGATCATTTGTGTAGGCTTAGAATTGACAATGGTGGTTGTTTAGTGTCCCAAAAATGAGGTGGAACTAACTATATGAATTAAACACCTGTTCCAATTTTAAATAGCGAGAGAGCATTTATTGCTTCTACATAAAATTTTTATGTTTCCATAAAAACAAAACGATAACGCGATTCAATAGACTATGCCTGCCATCTAGTATACAAAACGTTAATCTGATTCTTAACATACCGCCCACCATGGACAGCATGGCCATAACAAATGAGATTGCAATTTTAATTATAAATCAAAAGTCATCTTTATAGTAGATTATACATATAACAACACAAATTCATGAAAAATACCTAGGTGACATTCGCACTATTAGATAATGAACATCTTCGTCTATCCACAAAATAAAATTCTTCATACTTTAACACAGATTGAAAATATTAACAAAAAATAACTTTATAAGTGAACAACAATATAAACATACTAAATAATAAATCCATTATAGTCATAAGCAATATTTAAATAACTATAATTGAGAAAACATTACTAAAATTGTATATAAATAAACAATAAACGCAAATATTTTAGTCAAACAAATCTCTATATAGAGAACATTTGCATAGAAAGCCAACGACACGGGTAATGTGATCACTGCAACGAAATATGTAATAATGCCGTAAACTGCTTTAGCAATCAAAACAAAAAAAAACATCATATAGGTACCATAACATACCAATGTCACTAATTTGTGTTAGTCAATTGGAGAATTCTTAAGCTAAGTAAAATAATATAGTTTACCGCTTTTAATCTGAGTTTATAGCCCACCCTGAGGACTTCCATTTTTGTCCTGGAAAAGTTCCTTTTGGCCTTCTTAAGTTATAACAAGCTTGTACCTAAGTGGACTGTATTTAATATTTACATGTAAACCAAGAAGAACCAACTTTAAACTGGCTGTGGTAAACAATTGACTTTTCTTTATTTTTTTTTACCCTATTGGCAATGAAAACCTTGCATCTACTAAGATAACTACTGAGCCTTGTTTTGGCCCTGTATTTAATCCAATTCTGCAACAAATGATTAAGCATGTCTTGAAACCATTCCAAACCAGTCATCCATAATTTTGAAAATTTTGTTTGAATTATAGAAGACGCAACCCACCCCAGCGGATCGAATAATCGTGAGATACAGGAAATAACTTGAGAGGTGTTTCTGTATATCCGTGCTTTAGTATCAATAATCTGTATACCATGTTTACCATAATTGAATGAGCGGAATGGTGGCTTAACTAAAAACCGGTCAAAGTCTTCTCTGGTGGGTTTATCCGCGAATAGCATTTTACAATATTGCTGTTCTTGAGCAAGAATCTTTTTATTTATAACTGAATTCCCTGACTTCGATTCCCAACATTTAAGAAGTAAATCATCCCTACGAGCAGTGGCATTTGAACTAATGACCCTAAGACATGACAACTGGAGGCTTCCCAAAGGTTTTGAAGAAACCTGGCCAGATAGAATCCATCCATTTTGTACTAACAGAAAAGTTGAAGGACCCTTGCTTAAACCAACGACTAAAATCTGACTGATCATATAAGCTCCCAGAAGCAAATCAGAGTCAAGATCTGCTATTTGTACCACTACAAACTTTTTATATATTTCTATATTGACTTTATGAGTCGATAATATGGACGTTAATTTATTCAATACATGAGCCCTGGCTTCTACAACATAATAATTGAGGCCATGCATTGATTGAAGTTTAGTAATTGACGATTTCGTTACTACAGAGTCACTTTGATTACAGATACCTGACATAAAAGCATTCTATGGAAACTTTTGGAGACCTAGCGATTGCATAGTGGCATCTATAGTAAATGAAGATTGAGATCCCTTAGCAACCAAGGATCTGAAAGTACAGTGATTTCTTGACATGGACTGTACTCTAAATAACGTAGTAATAGCTTGACTGTGAGTAGTTGAATGACTCTTTACTACGTGATTGACTTCCTTAGTAATATCAGAATTACCTGACGAAGAAGTAGTGTCTACAACAATGGCTCTCTTGTCAACGGATAAATCAGCGACATGGTTTTCCGTTGATATTGGAACATTGAGATGTAATAAGGTATGATGTTTTTTCTGACATACGAGGCATCTAGAAGCTTGACGGCAGGCAAACGCGGAGTGATTTGGACCCATACAATTATAGCACAACTTATTTAATCGAATAAAATTACGACGCACTTCAACAGTTTCATGTGCAAAAAAGAAAATACAGTTACTTATGTCGTGACTTTCTGAGCAGAACAAACAAGAAGTTGATGTGATATGTTGAACTTCAGTATAATATGATATGAAGCGAGAACTCTCTGTGTCAAAACAACTGTCAGTAACAGACTGTGCCTTTTTGATCTTTAATAATGCTTCTTTTAATTCGGCCTTATAATCAATAAACAACTCTTCTGTTGTTTGGTACATATTATTTTTACAGTAAGAAGATGATGACGTAGTCTTTAGTGTCTATATCAGAGATAATCTTTAAGTGTGTGTCTACAAAAGATTTCCATAGAACTTCTAATCTTTCTAACCTTGCCTCTATATAACTCTGAGTAAGACGTTCTTTGGGTAACTTTTTAAAGCTAACTATACCATTACCAATGACTGACGTTACATGTTCTTGAATTTTAAATAATGTTTCCATATTTGTTTCTCAATAATTACTTGACATGAAATGAAATCAAATAAAGAAAGCTTTCGTACACCACACAACAACAACAAAATTATTTCATAAAATATAAACAGAATATTACCTAAACCAATACAGAAGTACAATAACAATCTGTAAAAATTTTCAAAGTCTATGACAGCCACCAAAACAAACAAAAAATTATTCTAAGTCCACAGAGAATTGATTGCTAAATTTTTAAAGTCTTTGACAATTTTGAAACCTGGGGAAAATCGGGCATAGGTTCCCCGTCTCAACAGATTTTAGCCTAAAATTTTACAAGTCCAAACTACTATACTAAATTAATTCTAATAAAGTTAAAGTCCAAATATCTTCTGAAAAATAAAGTTCAAATTAACTCACTGTTTAATTATTGCGAATGCCATACCACATAATATATTCAGTGTTCAGCTCCTGGTCAATTCTCCATACAAATTATTTCCACAACTTCAGGCGCCCTCTATTGTTAGGTTGTGTTTATTTTGCAGCTTCAACTTCGACACGAACCCTTGGAATTACTCCGCAACAGAACAATAGACAATTCAAGCTGAAAACTTTTTTACTTATGGCGCGCTGAACACTGCCTCTAGGTGAACCTTAATCCGGCGTACCGTAGGACAAATTTTTACATCCGGTTTCTGAAACGCATGTCAAATATTGAATTAGTTGACAGACTGTCATAATTAACTATTTGTTGAGCAACTGTGGGTTTCTGAAAAGATATTTACCGAAAAATTAACGAATCTACTGTTAAGGCAGGATTTATTTATTAGTCTGGCCACCCTAGGTAAAACCAGTCACTATCATTCGATCATTCATGTTTTGTTTCTGTCTAACGCATAGCTTTGTCTCTATCTTTTGACAACTTATAAGTGACTTTTATTTAGAAGTCAGAAAAATAGAAGCGATTGTGTGTACCGAAAACATTGAAATTTATTTTCATTTGTAAAGTTTTTACATAATATGTCACGAAAAAAGTATACGGAGCGAGAAAAGAGGGAGCTTTTAACAATAGTGGATAAGTAAGTACCTAATAGGTACAAATCAGTTGTTCAAATCAAGCTTTCTAATCTATACAAAGAAACCGATCTGCTTTTGGCATTTAAAATTTATAAATATATTGATAATATATATTTCAATGTAGGTACAAAGCAATAATAGAAAATAAGTCTACCAATGCAGTGACGGTGGAAAAAAAACGTGACTTGGAAAAAAATTGAAGGATTTAGAAATTAAAATTAAAGAATTGGAATTTACTTCTAAAGCAAATGAAAAGTAAAATAATTATAGTGTAAATCTGATATAAACTACAATATAAAGATGTTTGTTTGTTTGTTTGTTTGAACGCGTTAACATCAGGAACTGCTGAACTGAATTGAAATATTCTTTTTATGTTGGGTTAGCCATAATTCTAGGAAGGCTTTAGTGTACAATAATTGTTCGTTTTAAGTTCCAGGTGTGTCAGTTTTCCCATTAGTTGATGGAAAACAGATTTTGAAATCCTGTAGCGATCCTTCAATTCTTCATCATTGTAATGAATTACAGGATTTATTCGTTTCCGGAACTGGCGAGTTGGTGCCAGATCTTCCTCGTCACTAGATAGGGATATATCGTCAATAGATAAATCTGACAACATTTTTTACTACCACCTACAACAATCCTCTGACCAAAATATCAGTAAAATTTCTTTTGACAGTCTGTTAATTGATCTATTTTCAGCAATTACTTATTAAAACACAACAAAACGTTAACATGCAGTTAACATACAAAAAAGCTTTCCGGAAACCAAAAACTACCGCAATCGGCCATTAATTCGAGATTTGACATTTGCAACAACAAATCATTGACAAACTGTCACTTGGCTCATTGAGAAACCCAAAGTGCGTATAGATTAACAACTTGTTATGTAATTTTTTCGATGACATGCGTTTCAGCAACCGGGTGTTAGTGTCCCAAAAATGAGGTGGAACTAACTATATGAATTAAACACCTGTTCCAATTTTAAAAAGCGAGAGAGCATTTATTGCTTCTACATAAAATACTTATGTTTCCATAAAAACAAAACGATAACGCGATTCAATAGACTATGCCTGCCATCTAGTATACAAAACGTTAATCTGATTCTTAACAGTGGTCAATATTTTCTTATTTAGATGATATATGGCATTTTATTTTTTGGTACAGAAGTACACTGAATTGGGTCTGGCAGGGATCTAAGACTAAATATATCTGTTTCACTCTAAGTCAGCGATCCCAACCAGATTCTTAGTTTAAAATTACTATAAGTCACTGTGGTAAGGGTCGCAGCCCTGGCTGCGGGTGTTGTTCCCAACGATATTAAATACCCTAGGTACAATAACACCAACAAAATCGTGGCCAAAACCTGTCTAAAAGATACATTGGACGATACATGGAGCTTCGTAAGATGATCGCGTTGTAAAAACAATGTAAGGCATTAGTTAAAAAAATGAAAGTCACCTATAATGCATACCATATAAGGCCTTAATTGAAACGCATGCGTCATAGAGTTATGACATTTCGAAATGCAAGCTCGTAAATTTTTACGACATTATTGCTATATGCAGAAGAATATAGACCTTATTTCTTTGACTCTACGCGCAATTCTGTATGCGCTGTTCGCAATAAAGCAGGTACGGACCGCGAAGAAAAGAGACGGCTATATACCGACCATGCATTTGAATATCACAAATATTTTCTATCAAATCAGTTTATAGTCAGTATTAGAACAAAATTAACATAATATATTAATAAGATACCTGTCGAAAAAATGACAGTTTACGTATTATATGTTTGTTTTCATCTTTTTTTCACGGATCTCTGCGGCATCTTGATTTTTCAATGGTCCGCGCGTGACTGTGAACCAAGAAGTGCTCGAGTCGAGTTCAAGCCCTATTTGATTGGGACACATTTTGAGCGCTCTTGGGTCGTTCCATTCAAAAGGTTAACTCGTTAAACTACCTTGATGTTTTTGTTGACCACAGACTGTCATGGCAGAACCATATTGATTTGGTTATTAGTAGATTAAGGAAAATGAAGTGGATTTTTAAGACACTACGTCAAAATATACTTCATTAGTTAAAATAAATTAGACGCTACTGTCTTTAATTGTGTGTACACTCCTAAAAGAAAAATCAGAAAATAATCTCAAATTATGCACACATAAACGTAAAAAAAAAAATATACAAACATAAAAATGTACTAACACTACATTTCCATAATCCTAGAAAGGCCCGGGCTATGTTTTTAAATTATATTAAGAGCCAGGATAGGAAATTACACCCGGTAAGTATAATTTCGTAAAAATACAAAAAAGGAAATAAAATAGTAACACTCACTTGTAATTCGCTGATAAATATATTAAATATGAAATTTCACAGTTTAGAGCAAAAACAAATTGCTATAAATTTATTTAATTTTCAAAAGGATTTTGATAATGGTGGTTGTAAAACACGTATCGTCTTGACATGACCAAGCAAACTGTCATCTGTCTTCAAAATGGCAACGCACCAGTAATGTAACACACTTTCGCTATGGTCTATGCTACTAGTAGTATATACCCGCGAAATTTCAAATGTTGCGAATAATCATAACTTTATTTTTTAAGTGGGCTATCCTAGGCGCCGGGCCGTCTTCGGCGACATTTCCTTATACCAAATTTCATCTAAATCGGCCCAGCGGTTTAAACTTGAAGAGATAATAGACCGACAGACACACTTTCGCATTTATAATATTAGTATGGACATAGGTGTCTCAGATTTAGAAACCAGTAACTCGAGCTCAAACTACTAGCGAGAAAGTATTCGTATCATCTTAAATTTTCTACGGAAACTAGGCAGTGGAGGAGCTTACCGGACGTAAGATCGAACTAGCTCCTTCCATAGAAACTTATATTCTTTCTCGCTAGTTGCTTGTGCTTTGGGTGCTGAGCCTAGGTAATTGGGATTTGCATACTTACCTATAGCCCTATTCCATATTTCCCTCCTCATTTCAAGCTGGTAAATGACATCTTGCGTTACCAATACAAAATAGGTATGCATGAGTTCATATAATAGGGATGATGACTTTATTCGTCTATCAGGTAAACCCGATTTTTTTCTTTATTCACATAATCAAAGCATTACAGAGATACACTGATTTGAAATGTCGCAGGGCGTCACGTCTTGGTACAATTTTTACTTATAAGTAACGGTACGAGCCCCCACTCTCAAATTTTACCGCGCTTTATCTTTGTAAATTATTTGGTTGGTCGACAAAAGAAAAAATACGTGTTTATTATTTTAGATATTGTAACTGACAGACTTACTATAATTTCGTTTATTTTGCCCTGTCATCATCTCTATACTGCAATTAAATTGGACTGCTCCTCATATCATCGCTGATTGTATGCTCTGTTCGAATCGATTATTTCGCTTAATGTGGTTTGTTTGTGAGTGCACGGGCGAGACAGACGTGACGACTGGTTGTTCCCTAACGCTGCACAAGTATGTGGAGGAGTTTCCCGGCCTGATACACTTCGTGTACGTGGATCGCACCGCGGGCAGGTTCCTGGCGCCCGACAGAGCCGACTGTGTGGATATGCTGACATCTGATACGGTAAGTATTTGGGCTAGACATGTGACGACTAGTTGTTCCCTAACGCTGCACTAGTATGTGGAGGAGTTCCGGGCCTGATACACTCCATGTACGTGGATCGCACCGCGGGCAGGTTCCTGGCGCCCGGCAGGGCCGACTGTGTGGATATGCTGACATCTGACACGGTAAGTAATTGGGTTAGACATGTGACGAGTGGTGGTTCCCTAATGCTGCACTAGTATGTGAAGGAGTTACGGTCCTGATACACTCCATGTACGTGGAACGCACCGCGGGCAGGTTCCTGGCGCCCGACATGGCCTAAATAAAAGTTTCACTTTAATAAAGCGCTATTTATTTAATTTACTTCAAACGAGTCTTACGATCATGGTCTTCTCTCGTATTTATTATGTACCTATACTATGGTTAAAATGTCTGATTGGTTGTATTGTGTAGGTGCGCAGCATTGTGAGCCGAGGCTTATCGATAGTGCGCGAGGGTTACAGCGCGGCGACGTGGCGACGGGGCGCGCTGCACGCGTGCGTTGTTCTATGGTGGGAGCGGCGCGGGCAGGCGGTGAGATCCACGCGCGCGCCGCACCCCGCTGCCGTGCGCGCGCTGCCGCCGCCCGGCGACATCCTCGCTGCCTTCTACAGGTGACGTCACCCGTTGCGCCCCGCCCCGCCTCTGACGATAGTGCGCCGTGCTGTGGTGTTAGCGGTGCGTGCAGGCGGTGAGATTGACGCGCGCGCCGCACCCCGCCGCCGTGCGGGCGCTGCCGCTGCCCGGCGACATCCTCGTCGCCTTCTACAGGTGAAGTCACTCGTCCCGTCCCGCCCCGCCTCTGACGATAGTGCGCCGTGCTGTGGTGTTAGCGGCGCGGGCAGGCGGTGAGATCGAAGCGCGCGCCGCACCCCGCCGCTGTGCGCGCGCTGCCGCCGCCCGGTGGCATCCGCCCCGCCTTCTACAGGTGACGTCACCCGTCCCGCCCCGCCCCGCCCCGCCTCTGACGATAGTGCGCCGTGCTGTGGGGTGTTAGCGGCGCGGGCAGGAAATTTATTACCATTATATTTGCACTGTATTACTTTTTGTTTTAACTGTTTGTTTAGAATTTAGAACATATTTCAGCTGCAGCTGAAAGATATAATTATTTATTTGAATGAATGAAATGTTTTTTTACAAATGAGAAGACATTCACAATTTTCCTTTCTTTTTCCTAAAACAGTGTCAAATATTTTTCTTAAATTAAAATATTTTGTCACTTTGTGACAGGAGGCCAGTCCTCTTATCAATGACTGACCTCCTTAAACAGAATTTTGTTAACCCTCTTCCTCCTTCTGCTGATAATATGTCATCCGAGAATAGAAAAATCAGCCCTTAGTCCATTATGCTTTGTTTTACGTAAATATATAAAAAACCTAACAATTGGGTTTTTTTCTCAGAAATTTACTAGAGCAAGCGTTCCCCAACGACAGTCATGGTGTGTGTATCAAGGAGTTGATCTGCGTGCATTTGGGCCTCCTGCCGGCATCGACTGCGGTGCAGCAAGCTCGCCGATTGGCACATACGGTGAACGAATTGGCTGTTGATAACCCTGCCGTGCCAGCTGACTTGCTATGAAATGTAAACAGCTGCAGTGTTATTCTGTAAGAACAAACTCGAATCCGCCAGTGTGATTTGAAATAATATGTATTCCAATTTTAAGTCACAACGCGGATGCCTAGATGAAAAAATGAGTTTTATTTTTTCAGAAAAGCATTGCTGAAAAGATTTTGGTCTAGCGCGATAAAGGCAAAACTAGTCACTGTATCAAATAAATTGTGCCAATTATGTGTAATGAAAAATCTTTCTAGTGTTTTTAGCGAATGACTATCAAATCATTTTTAGAACCAATAATATTGCAATATTTATTAATTTTAATTCAAAATGTACGATGTAGTCAGTTGCATCATTAAATTACGTCAAACAAATTTCATGATTTTTTACCTCGTCCTTATTGGCCAGGCCAAGGCCTGGCTGGCCATGTGGTCATATTTATGAGACCCCTCATTGTTGAGATGAGACATCACATATTTTGCAATTTTTCATTTAGACAATATAATAATTCACGAAACATATAATGCGATTCAACTAAGAATAGGACCGACTGGGCGCCATATTGTGACGTCATAGATGTCAATTCAAACCAAATCGGTAGAGTGAGCAAAAGAAAGTTTTTATTTAATAAAATTTATTTACTAAGATGAAGTGAGAAAAAACCTCAGATTTATTTAATAAAATTTATTTACTAAGATTGAGAAAAAAAACGATTTTAAATAATATTTATTTATTAAAACTGTGTGAGAAAAAAACATTAATCTAAATCTAGCTCTTCAATTCCGCTCATTTCTGCATTACCGCCGGAGTAGTTATGAATAATCATGCACTATTTCTAGGTCACATATGAAAATGCATCCTTTAAGTAATCGAAAGTTTTAAATTGAGTTTATGAACGCAACTTAAAGTACCATTTGGTTGACGATTTAGGTTATCAACCAGTCATAGCCAAGGCTCAATAAATGAAAAAAAATATCAAACAATATTAACTATCAATATTTGTTATTGTTTGTTTACTAATGTCTGGTTTTTATTCTAGAATTAGCTGAGTGCTAAAAACGGGTTCCAAGATTTTTTTGCAAACCGTGCTTTTCACGCGACATTTGACATATGGAGGTCATTGGCTTTCCTATTCTTATTTGGATCGCATTATACTCATCTTACCCCTTGGCCTTGTGACACTGTTTTCACCCTCTCTCAGCACCCCATAACATGTGACGTAATTTATACATGACCTCTTGTGGATTGTATCACTATTCTTAAAATCTCTTTATAAAATACCCTAAGACATTCCAAGAAATATAAATTTAGAATTAACGTATACAAATTCTTTACGTTTCTTTAGAATACCAAATGCTTAAATTAAATTATATAGTTTTTACAAGAAAGCTTTATATTTTTGTGGCATAATGGGTTCCTTGAATCATTTTAAGAAAGCGCAATAGCTTTGTTTTATTTTCTGATGACAGCACAATCTTGAACAATTAATGAGCTTTCGGCTTGCAAAATATGTTTGTGCACTGCCATTAAAAGCTCCACACTGAAAGAATGAATCACTAAATATTTTTATGTAAACTTAAACTACCTTACATCCTACCCATGTAATCTTATTTATTTTTTGGATTGACTGGTAGCTATTTTAAATGTGCTCTAACACTGAAAGTTCACGCGGTCCAGGCAGCAGACGGGACTCGAACGCGCACCCTCTATAGTGCTTCGCTTGGATAGCGGAGGGTGTGTGTTCGAATCCCTTTTGCTGCCTGCACTGCGTGAATGTTTTCTAGTAACAAATTCTTTAAAATCAATTGAGTCAAGAGTTTAACAATTGATAATTATTTTATAATTTTATGGTTTTAATTAGGTCATAATTCTCCAAACTTGACAGCAGGGTCTCCTGTTCATTTAATAGAGAGCGTCACAAGGATATACCTACACCAGTCGATTTGAAAAATCATGAGAGAATCCATATCAAAGTTAAGATGGTACGTATTTGTTTTTAGCAATTTATATTTTGTTTATACACTATTGTTTAATTTATTTTAAATATATTATCATCTTAAACAGTTTAGTCTTATTCATCATCAGCCTATTCATGTCCCAAATGCTGCTGCTTCTGAGAATGGACCATGCCATGACTAACCAAGATGCACCAGTGCAGTTTGATGGGTGCTAACGACTACAGATGCTGTAACATCACCCACCACCAAAGGTTTAAGGTGCTTTCCGAAGAACAGAGGAACTTAAATAATGATGATCATAAAATAAATTTTTGGTCACCAATCCAATGGCCAGCTTTTGCGAAAGTTGCTCTTTCACACAGACCAAATGTGCTTACCACCTGCGCTATCGACCTTCTCTGTTATCTATATATATCTGGAGCATAGATACTTCCTACTAATATTCTAAATGTGAAAGTTTATTTATGCTGGGGTCACACTAAAAGAAAAATGCTGAATGTTAAAGGAACAGTGTGCACAATTAAATTTTATTCTATCCATTATGTAATTTAGATGACAATGTAAAAATAAAATAAAATATTTCTCATTAATAAACATGTATTTAGAGTATCCTAAAAGTATCAAGCAGCGTTTGTGGATGTTAAACAACCTCATGTAAATAGAAATTGTAGTGTTAGTAAGAAAATGATGTCGATTCTGACATGATTCTCTAAAGAAAGCTAAAGGAGATTGCTCAGCTTCCTTCCATACATGTTTGGCCTAAACACCAATAATCATGAAAAATTGTTTCCTAGATTCGAAATTATATATAAATTACTGTAGAAACGAATACTATTGACGGACACGCCTGAGAACTTCTATAAACCATATACACTGAACATATTAAAATAATAAAAAACAAATAAGTTATATAGTAAACTAAGGAAATAAAGCCAAGTACCGAAATTATGGATTAGATTCAGGTTTATAGAGCATGTAGATTAACAGATAGTTGCCTGTTTTTAAAGTTAATGCATAAGAGTAACTTTTAAAATCAGGTGTCATTTCCGGTTACAATAAGGTACTCTCTGACAGAAACTGTGTGATGATTGTGAATGAGCCACAGATTAGAGAGAATTTTTAAACTCTCGTTAACCAAAGAAAGCTAAGAGATTTATGTTCTATAGCCATATATTCAGTAGCTTCATTATTTTTGTTATGTTTTTAAGATAACCATATTTTAGATTTTTAGTGTTTCACACCTTATAATTTTATTTATTTATTAATTTATAGTCAGGAAACGTAGGCCCATAGATAGGTACCTTAAAGTCTAACATACAATACAGATTATAATGTGTGTATGTAGGTGTTTGGCGAAAAATGTATGAAATAGACTTTATGATGTCGCCTACCATCTTTAATAATTGTCTGAGTACATTTGCATCTAGTGAAAATGATAATATAGTGGTGGATATTAATACCACAGTGTAATAAAAAAAAATATTTATTTTATCGATCTTAACAAAATAGATTTGTTTTTATGTTATATAAACAACTTCGCAATCTTTGGCTGAATGTTACTACACACATAGCCATTAAAAATGATTTGTATGTTTTCCAAACCGGTAAAATTAAAAGTCCTTTTTAAAGTAAATATATTATACAAAGGTGTCCGTTGAAATCTAATGAATTTAAATTAAATTATAAATTACGCCAAGAATTACTGTGTATGTCAATATTTTTTGTGCATTTGGGCCAATTTGAGCAATCTCCTTTAACATCATACTCTCTTTTTCATTCTATATAGAGAATGACAAGAAAACACTGTTGTCAAATATAATTTTAGATTGAGAGAATCATGCCAGAATTGACACCACTGATAATAATCACAACAGAAATTTTACTTAATATGGTAACTTATTTAATATTACAAGATAAGGCACTTGTCAGTATTCAGGTGAACTATCACCTACATATTTAACATCATCATTTACAATTATAGGCTTCTTTACATGTTTATCTTCCACGTCAAAACTTATCAGGTCTTCAGAACAAATGTTAGATTTCTGTAACAAATAATATAATATACATAATATAGCTATATAGGTCACAGTGCAAAATGATAATTGTAGAAATGGAATCAGGCTTCTTCCATCTTCCTTACACAGCAGGTATTCTTATTTTATTTAAAAAACATATCAATACTTAAATAATAATGGAATTTGCTAACCAAAATTTTACTAGAAGCAAATCCACGTGACCCAGTCAGCAGACAGGACTCTAATCCGTACCCTCTAGTATTTCTTAGGCTTCAAGGCAGCGAATTCTCTTTGCAGCATGTTAGCTGCTGCTGATTTAAGGGTGTTAGTTTGAGTCCCGTCTGCTGCCTGGGCTGCCTGCCAATTTTTTTCTAGTAAAATTTTCTTAGATTCTGACATTTACCTGCTGATAGCTTAAAAAAATAAAATATAATGGATGCAAGACAGCGCTATCTCTTTGCAGCCTAAGAAATACTAGAGAAAATTCGACAAATAATGGTCAGTGCATCCGCCTGTCTGCTGCCTGGGCTGCATGGATTTTTTCTAGTATAATTTTCTTTAGATTTAAATATCTAGCAGTTAATTGCTTAAAACATAAAAATATAATAGAATTAAAATTAGTGCTGTTTTCACGATTGATTTTTTCAATTACAGTATAAATATAGGTACAGACAGCCACTGATAAAGTCACCCAATAATGCAATATTTCTTTAACTGTCCGAGCTTTCTACTGCTTCATACAATATTCATAATCTATTGTCTAAAAAAGTTTATGGTAACTTGATGTGTTGCTGTCTGTACATCATCATCATCAGCCTATCAATGTCTCCACTTTTGGGGCACAGATTGGTGGGTGATAACAACTGCAGATGCAGCTGGAACCAATGGCTTAATATGTCTTTTGAAGGACATGCTCAAGATAATAGATTTTTGGTTACCATCCTATGACCAGCTTTTGCAAAAGTTGCTTAGCTTCCAGGATCTCCGGGAGAATAAACTAACCACTATGCCTTGTGTACAATTCGTTTAATGAATAAAATATAAACTTACACTGGTTGAGGCCACATCACTTTTGTTTTTAAGTGCTGCAGCATAATTCAATACTGGTTTAGTTGAACTTGTGACTGTCAACACAGGACTAGGACTTCTGTCCTTTGAGTCATTTTCTATCAACTGAACTGAGTTCTCACTGTCTTGGAGGTGATTACTATTCATAAGAATATTTGGAATATTCAGTATATCTACATCTGGAGGGGTCTTTAAAGCTTGAACACATGCCTCTGCCATTTCAATTTCTCTTGTCATGAATTTTTCTTCAAGCATTTTGTTATAGGCTGTGTGAAGTTCCATAGACTGTTTATCAGAAAGAATATTACTCATTTGCTTGATTTCTGCTTCTAACTCTCTAATAGTACACTCATTTTTAGCAGCTACTTTAGCTTCTTTGATAAGCCTAATGTCAACGGCTTCTTGAATACATAGGATTGCATCACTGGTAACATTACTTTGTACATTTGATTCTGTGATTATTTTATTGAATACACTATGAGCAGACAATCTGTTTGGTTTCTTATATCCAGTTAGTTTCTCTCCTAAATTGGCAGTTACATCTTCAATATATTCATAAATGTCGAAACAATTTATTTTGCCAAACCTATATGTGAATGTATGGGTTGAGCCTGAGGAGGATGTTTTATTTGATAAATTACATGTAACAAAATTTTTCTTCCCATGATACTTTTCAAAATATTTTTGAAGACCTTTAGTAATTAATTTATCTCTGAAAGTGGGCTTTAAATTGGTGTTTTTTCTATATTTATACCAACCAACTACTTCACTTGCACAGTTTGATAGCAGACCTGAGAGAACATCTTCTTTAATCCTCCCAGTTGGTAAGTAAAATAATGAAACAGATGGTAGTGGTAGAACTGTTCGTATTACAATCTGCGTGTCAAGCCTTGCATTCTCACTTTGAGAATCCGATATGTGATTGGTGATTTCAGAAGTCACATCTCCAATGAGAAACCCCTCCTTAAATATAAATTGTTACATGTACACAAATGTAAAAGAAAATAAATATATTGTAAATAAAACTCAATAATTTTAAAATAATACCTGGCTATTTACAGAATTTATACACTCGTACAATAGAAAGGACAGAGCTGTGCCACTGAGCGACACCTTTTCAGTATATGCCATTATAGACAAATGGCATAAACGTAACTAAACATACAATAACTTTCTATTATTTTGAATACAATGCTTCATAAAACAAACAGTTTTTCGTTAAAAATTACAGTAACAAAATAAATTCCGCGGATAAATTTGCTTGGAACATAAAGTGACATGACACTTGGTTCGTGACACTGACAGACAGCCAGTTTGACCAACCCACAGACTAGTTAGAGATACTACCACCCATATTCTTAATCGCGTCCTCAAACATTCCTCGACTCAAACTCATTCGAGGGCTCCTTAAGGAGTTCCTCCAAATAACCTCGAAAATGGTATTCTAGTTGGTATCTTGAACAAATTTGAGAATTCCTCCACTGAGAATTCCTCAACATTGTGACGTCATCATTTGGAGGATTTTATTTCTATAATGGTTAACACAGGAAATATTACTTGTATGACTGTATCTTTTCTAAACCGAAATCTTCTTTGAAACGAATCATTGTCGTACAACTTAAAAGGATTTGCGGCATCACGTAAATACCGTCGCGCCGGAAAATTATATGGTTAATCATCGTGTATGTGTTACTGAATAAATAAATAAATAAATCGTATACGTAATCCATAAAATCCACAAATTCGTCAATAATCTCAAAAAAGACATAAAACTTGAAAACACCTTAAACACCACTCGAGGAAGCCTTAAGGTACGTCGAGAGCTACCTTGAGTTTGACAGTTTATTCCTCGACTTGAGTGAGGAATATCTCAAGTGAAGGATATTTTTGTTGTCTAAGCATACGAATTTCCTCCAATGAGGTTGAGTCGAGTGGAAAAAATCTCGAGGAAACGACTAAGAATATGGGTGTTAGACTTATACTTGTCTGTGGCGATATGTCGACAGTGTACTCACTATATCCATATTAAATGAATGAAACCGATAGCTCTTTGATGCGAAATGAGCGTCGCGCCTTCGTAGTCTGTCTCTCTTAGAGCCCGGTTTTTCTATGTCTCTGTCTGTCTGTGACATTGCCGTGACATGCTCTTTAATTTTTTTTTGTTCTGTGGCTGTTTCCGTTTTACACAGGAATTACGCCAATATCCCGTAGTGAGAGAGACACGATATGAGAGAGATTGCTCGGTATTTAAACAAATAAAAATTTAAAATTTTTATTTTATTCAAATAACCTTCTTGCAATATTTGGAAGGAAGGAAGAATCCTTGAGCTTTTATCATTGTTCTTCTGAAAGCATAACACCCCGGTGACAACTGCCCTACTTTAGAAAAAAAAAATGGGGGGTTTTTGGCGGGATTTCATCGAGTGTGGTTGGCGTCTTATTTTAATTATTCTTAAATTCGTTCATAGTGGATATTGTGAAATAAAATTGGTGTGATTTTGTGTTACAACTGTCTGCGTAACTGAAGAATTAGTAGAATCGTCAAAATATACGCTTTTCCGATCAAGTGGACGTGAGAATTTTATTGTAGTATTGACTACCTCACAGAAGCTTATCGAAAAAGCCAGCTCAATACATTTCGTGCCAAACACTTCAGGAAACATTAGAATGCGTCATACCGACATTCTAATGTAAAAAGAAAAACAGAATAATTTAACTTAAGACTAGGCTGTATGGGCATTGTTCCCCTTGCCTTTCCTGAAAAGGGAGAACTTAACCAAAAAAAAAAAAATGGATGCGTGTAACTTATGTACGCGCGTGAGAAGTCACAGATCACTATATATGTAGCAAGCTACAGATGCGACAGTCAATTTTGCTTGCTTCCGCAAAGAACAGTTGTGGCGCTGCGGTCGTTTCTGTCCACAGATTATTAATATGTCAATCAGGACTAGTGCTTCCAATTTATGATATGCTATCGATATCGATATGCTTAGTGTTGTTTCTCTATCGACAATTATGGGAATAGGGTAGGACTAGGATTGCTATTTAATTTATTACTATTTGTATATTAAAACACTTGAAGTAATCATAATTATTATTTATTAAGTTTAAGTTTTCTTAGTCTATATGTCTTGTATTTATTAAATGCTAAAATTTGCATATTCTCCATCTTGTTTACATATTTTTCATCCAATTTGCCTTCTAAAATTTTATTTATAATATTACACCAATTATGACATTGGAGACGTATAACGAGTGTTGTAAAATAATTTATTAAATTAGATTGGTGAGATTTGCACCCAAGCCAGGAGATATTCTTTTTTAATAAAATCTCTTTAAGATTTTTTTTAACATCTTTTCTGTGACCATAATTATTTAAATAATTGTGTATGGCTTGGGAACATTCTCTATATAGTATTAAAAAAAATTCATTGGGATATGCCAAATTGTTATTTTTTAACCTTTTGTATTCTCGGTATTGGATATATTTATGAATCCCTTGTATTTCTTTGGTCACATATGTTTTTGCACAAATGTAACAATTAAATTTTTTTGTAATTTTCCTGCATATGTAACCAGCAGTATACGCCGATATTTGAACCCGCACTTTCTCATTTATCACATTTTCGGTAATATTACTACAAACTGTTCTAGAAGACAATGGCGCAATCGAAAGGTTTGGCGAGATATTTTGGTCATCTTGCGACTCGTGTGTGGACGTCGTAAACAAATAATTCAAATCGATCAGTGTATCGCCATTGTCTTCTTCACAATTAGAAAATTTTGAGTGCGGGCTTAATATATTCGATAAAACTAACGATTTAAAAGCGTACACAAAACTATTTACATCAGGATTTGTATTCCTATAATTAATAGCTCTAATACGACCAAAGAAATTTTCCAAAGGATCTTGATTTACGTATCTGGGGTAGAAATATTCAACCCCAAATTTTGAAAATAATAATTTGGATAATCCTAAAAAGCTCTCCAAAGTCATAATCCACCCATCTAATGATGGAACACGCACATGTCTAGGCTTCCCAGCTTGTACAGAGAATTTACTTTTAATGTCAATAAATTTCATTTTCTTTAGTTCCAGGATGGCATTTCTCCAAAAATCTTGATGTGCAGAATTCTGTTTCACAGCACATCTCAGTTTTCCCTTTATTCCTCCCGGTGATCCATTAATGCTGTCAAATAACTCGTCAAAAAACAGTACTACTGCTGCTGTGGTGTCCATGGTCTCTGTGCAGTTGTTGAGCTGCTTATCTGAAATAATAACAATTAAAAACTATGATAAATTATTTATTCAAAATATTCTTTATTTTTAAACTTATAGCAATAAATAGTTTAAGTAATTAATAAAACTTTTCTGGTAGGTACAAATAAGTATAGATAAATTAATACTTACGAACAGCATGTGTATAATTCAGCATTGCTGCAGTACGAGCACTCAACACTTGCGCAGCAGTTTTGACCTTCATTTTTCTTATTTTTTTTGGATCCACGTGTTCTGCTGTTATTTTGGGTAAAGCTCTTGTGTGCCCTGATTTGTTATCCAGGTCATATACATAAATGATATCTCTCCAAGTTGCTCGTTTATCTTGAAATAAAATATCCTTTTCTATAAAGTTATTTCTTATCCCTTTTAGTAAATGTGGTGGATCATGAAATATGAAAAGATCACATCCAGCCACATGGATTGTATTATCTGAAACAATTAAAAAAACAATTATATACTTATAGACAAAAAAATATAATTATATTCAGTGCTATTTGTCTTCATTCTGCAATATTATAAATGTGAAATAAAATATTTGTGTAGTTAAGTGAAGGTTTATCTTTTATGTTTTTATTCTATATGTATAAATCTTTTCAAAAGGACTTTTAATCCCGTTGAAAGCGTTTTTATCATAGATCCCTGGAGTGCTACAGACCATCTACTTTTAACCCAATTGAACAAATTGGTTTCCGAGGGAAGCTGAAAATACTATGTGATGATCCATCATTACATGGGTGGGTGCATGATGGGCCATTATTTGTAGGAATATAATATCTGTAGCACAAACCAATAGTGAATTCGTATCGTTTGCGAGTACGAAATGTCAGTGTCAAATGTATACTGATTTTTATGTCTCGTTACGTACATTATGGTGCTGCTGTTCAAGTTTTCATACAAAATTTGACAATGACATGGACTCGAAAACTATTCGAATTCAATAATGGTTTGTGGTAAGGGTACAGCACTTATAGATCATACCTTGATGTCTTCCTTGAGTACTACGGAATTGGGCAGTATCTTTCTTCATCGATTTAAAACATGAGCGAAATGTTGATCCCTGATCACATACCAATGCAAGTAAGACCAGACCAGTCTCAAAAATGCGGGGAATAATTTGCTTGAGAATGTTTTGTAGCTCGGCTGCAGAAACTGTTCCAGCACAGAAATAATAAGCAATGCTTTGTCTCCATGAAGAGCATATTCCTCGGACCATAAATACCAATGCATGATCTGCAAATTTCTGCTTGCGTTCTTCTCCTATCTCGACAAATCCATTTATTTTATCTTTATTTTCATTATATATAAGGCGTGGAGTGAGGGCAACTTCATCAAACACTAATGAACATAATTTTTTCTTTATGTCCCATCCTTTGATCGTCTCCTTGATGTGATCAATAATGTTTTTATTTATACCACATTCAAAATCAATTTTTCCTGAAAGTCTTTCAAGTGTTCGTTTATTGGGCAAGGCAAACATTTTCTCCAACAATCTGTACCCCTTTGGACTTTGCTTCCATAAAGTAAGGGCAAATAATTTATCGTTCAAGGAGAACCTTCTTGCCATTACATTTTTTCTGACAAGCCGTAATTGCATTATCAGGAATTCTTTAGCTCTCTTATTAAGTTTATCAAAATCCTTTAAGTAACTTTCTGACAGATTATGTGCATTTTGCAACCTTTGGCTACTTGTGTCACCTTGACTCTCTTTTGCAATTTTGGTGCACTTTTTAATATATCTATGAGATTTGGTGGCAACTTGTTTCATAGATTTGCCTGAAATTAATAAAATTATTAGTTACCTATTACCCTTGATAAAACCGATTGCAATAATAGTTTATAATTGGGTGGTTTTTTTACCCATCTTGATGCAAGGAGTATTGTTAGATTTCAACTGCATCATAGCATTATTTTCATCACCCTTATTAACACCCGCTGCATCACCTAAAACATTTGTAAGTATTGTATTCTTAGAAAAAACATTAATATATCAAAAGGCAAGTGTATAGTTTATCTCATTACTTACGAATATAAAATGTA